AACATACATTTGATAGCCTCATATGCTAAATAGAGCTCCCATTGTGTTTGTGCACATTACCGGTGTATACATTGTGTATATATAACACCATCTCTGCGCCGTTTTACAACAGCCAGAATTATATTAAAAGATCAGCAGATTTCATTGTGCAGTCGTCCATATATTATGAGGTTCAAGCTACATTGTGCATGTAACCTCAAATTTCAATTGATTTGTTTGATAAAAAAAGTAGTTAGAGACTTAGTGGTATCAAATCATATTATCAAGGTTATTTTCAACAGAAGCTGTCTCTTATTATATTAACAGTGGTACTCAGGAGAAACCTCAAAGGCCTATATGTACAACATATTGAATGTATAAATAATGTATTGCAAATTATATTTAAAGGTAATACGGGTGTACAAAGTTTTGGTATGGGGTCATGAATTTGGTTCAAATGAACATATAGGAAGCATACATGTAGGCGATCCTACAATATTCAGTGATCGTTGCCGTGGTTGAAATCAAGTTAAAGTGATGAAATTGTAAATAATAAACTCATTATGTTGTATAGCGCCCTCTCAAGGTCAATATATTAATTTAGCTATAAAACAATGTTTTTTGAATAAAAACGACCGATTTGCTATTACCGTTTGGAAATTATATATCACAACAACATATTCTGAGATTTTCAAGGTCGCAGATACCATCGTATGGTCGTAGGCGCTATTTGAAATTTGTCAAAATTTACCGGGAGCACCGGTAAATTTGTATATTCAATTTTTCTTGAAAGCAGAAGTGTTTTAGGTGCTAAATTTTTTAGTGCTTATAAAACATCCATAGGGGCATCCAGTTAAATCAAAATTGTAAAGAATCACGGTCAAGCCAATTTTCAAAATTTACCGAAACTTTGTAATACCTTTAAGTCTACTAGATCACCATTCACCACCTAAAAAACTAAGGTCTGCGTACATAGACTACATTGTATACATGTAGGCCTAAAAATATGCATGTTTGTAACTGTTTACCGGTAACTATTTATAGCACTCGCTAAAAGATGATGAAATAAATGAAACCGCTTCATTTCATGTTGTTTGCAAATATCGGGAAATGTACTAACTAGACATTTTGAGGAGCAGGAAGTTACAGAAAATCCATGTACCGGTAATTTAAATGAGCTGCACAGATGCCCTTTTTCAAAATACGCTTTTGCAAATCAGAGTTCTCTCTCTCTCACACTTTCTAGGCTAACACACATGTACCGGTATGGGCATTACAATTTACAACTTACAAGTACTCAAAAGTTTTTAAGTTTCTATTGTACTGGTGTAAGGAAAACATTAACAAATAAATAAAACATTCAAAAGACACCACCCCCCCCCCCCCCCAAAAAAAAAAAAAAAAAAAAATACATACCGGTAAATAAATAAAAATACATGTACTTAACACACAAACAAAACAAAACATGTATGATCAATCATCATAAAAATATATCATACAAGTGATGATACAACCAAGTTCAACCTTACAATAATTGCAAGTGGTACACTTCTTGTGATTGCATCATTGACAAGGTGGAAAGAGAAATTCTAAGTACGGTACAGGTACAAGTATATGAATATTACTGAAACAAAACACAAATACAATTAAAAATTGGTTCCAACATGTACATGTACATGTACATTGTATGCCTTGTTCATATTTGAGTAATTGATTGAATTTCTAATGATTGGTAATATTTGGAAAATACTAACAGACACAACACTTAACCTGTGTATGATACAGTTGTGTCAATGCAGGCATGCAGATAACATCAGTTTCCATAGATCTATATTAAACTCAATTGAGCTTAACAATACAGTGCATCTCAGTAGGTAAACCACAAATTCTAAACCTGTGTTGGCTTTTGCAATGGTTGAGAGATCATTTACATAATAAAAGGGTGATTCCAAACTCAAACTTTTCATGACAGTGTGCGACGACGAGTCATTGGTGGTCTGGGAAGACTGCTTTGTTCATAATCACACAAAAGTATGGTAGTGTATTAAACAGTGGAGGAATGCAATGATGGGGCACAACAATCTAGACCTATTATATAGCAGGCAAGATTAGCTGACATACTATACTATGTACCTGTATGTACAATAATAGTGCTCAGTAGATTAGATGCTTCATTACTTTGTTTACTTCTTTGCCATAATTTCTATGCTTCTATTGCAGACAAATTCCCTGATTTATATTCCTACTCTAGTTGAACTGAATTTACTCTATCTTTTTATTTTATTTTCATTTTTGTAAAAAATTTGGTTTATATTGTGATTGATGCAAACTTGCAAAGTGCAAAGATATCTTTTTTTCCCTTCAACTTGATCATGTGTCAACATACACATGTGCACATTGTGGTCGGTCAACATTCAAGCGCCCAAAGAATGATCTTACTTGCTTTAGTTTTCTAACTTTGAAAAGAGCACACGAATGTACAGTACATGTACATGAAAAGAGCTAAAAAATAATCTTTTAATACATTTTATTAACAGAAAAAACTTTTTAGTCACTTTTTGATAATTCAACATCTCAACAATTGTTTCATGCAGCTTTGGAATTTTTTTTTAAAATGTTGAGCATAGAAAAACTACTCCTACAGTACATCTAAAACAGCAAGAAAACTTTACAGACAGGACTTTTTTTACCCATTAATATAATATACAGTATTCATTTAGGTTATTTGCACTACAGCAAAATCATATTACTCTGGCAAATTGATTAGATCCAAGTATCTGATCGAAATGAACTAGTTGGGGAAAGAGTTTCAAATTTCATTATTCTCTCCTTCTCCCTCTTTTCTCTTTCGCGATATTACAAGTGAGCTCATATCCAGGTTCACAACGATATGTTGTGACTCACAATGAGTTGGCAGGCACCGTTAACAGGCAGAGACCAGATCAAGTCTCACCGGTATTGACACAAGCAAAGGAATCAGAGTCAAACCTCGGAAGTTGACGAATTAAACCGTTGAAGAATCTAGCGCTAGCACCTACTCTCTAATTCTTTGCTATGTACAACAATCTATGTTACGAGCCTGTTCCTGTCATTTTGACTCAATGAAAAATGGCTTAGTCTACTACATTTGCATCATACAACATGTACTTAATAACAAACATACAGGTGTACATCACACAATGCCATGGTGAACATTAATGAAGTTCGTGATTAAATTTACAAGTCAAATTACATGTTGTTTCTCAATGAAAAAGAAAGCCAACACGCCCATGCCCACACAACCAATTCAATACAAATATGGATTAGGTAAATAAGGAAGAAATATCATTAAGAAAAAGCTCCTGGATCCAGTGACAAAACTGTTATTTCATTTTTTGTGTTCAATGATTTGAAATTTTGAATTCCTTTCTGATTTGGGTTATTTTATTGTATGTTATTGTATGTTATTTTATGTTATTTTATGTTGTTATTATCAGTGGCCTAATGAGCAAAAACTTTTTCGGGGGCAGGACAAAAAAAATTGCCTGCAATAGATTGGGGAATTTGTAATTCTCAACAAACGCATAAAAAAGTACAATTTTAAAAAAAGTGAGAAAAAAAACCAAGACAAATCTTGTCATTTCAGCAACATTTGTAAATCAATGGTATCGAATGAAAAATAAACCATGTTATAATTTTATTTGAGGGTGGGAGATGCCCCCCCCCCCCCCCCCATCAGTACGCCAGTGGTAAATACTACATGTATACAGGATGTAATGTTGTTGTTATTTTGCTTTACTTGTGCCAGTGTTTTAGATATTTTTTAGTTTTTGACATTCTGGAAATCTGTTGATAAAGTTACAAAAAATCATGGTATCTTTACAGAATGAAAGCAAAACATTGAAGAAAAAAAATGAATTGTCATACATGCATCTTGATAGAAAAAAGAAATATGGTATGAATAAAGATATCTTTTACATATTGACTACCAGGTTTGTAAATTCTTTTTGTTCTTCCAATGACACAAGCCCAGATTTCTGCCTATTAAGTTTACATAATTACTATAATCATGTAAAACAGGGAATTGAAAGAAAAAAAGAAAAAAATTTAGATATCCAAAAGAATCCAACCAACTTGAAAAAAATTAATAACACAATGTACATTGTACACTATCAATACCCCAAATTTGTGAGAATGAATATCTATTGGTTATTTATTTGACCCCAAAAAATAACTTGCCATTTGCATTTGCAGTGAGTTAGTATTGAGGTATCCCCCACCCCCTCCCTATCACCAGCCACCGTGACCCATACAGCAAGATATTGTTTTTAAAGCATTGTCATTGTCAATTGTCATCAACATTGTTTGACAGAGATTATATTTTAATAATGTAGCACAAAGCAAAGCAAAGCGAAAGCTTTCAGACAATGTATCTCGCCAGGCACTACATCACCCCCCCCCCCCCCCCAAGGAGAAGAAAAGAATTTCAGACCGAATCAAATGGATGTTAAAAAGTATTGTCAACATTGTTTGTCAAAAGACAATGTCGCACAAGGCAAGAACTATAGCAAGGCCACAAAGTTTCAAACAATAGCGACCCTATTCGTCTATATGCGAGCACATTTCATTATAGAGCAAGGATGCTTGAGGAAACACAATTGAGATTAAATAAAGAAAAATGGCCAGTCCAAACTCTTATGTGTAAAAAAATCTTTTCAGACAGGGTTACAAGATACAAAGGTCACTCAATAGATTTTTTTTTCTTCTCAAAAATCAATAGGCAGGTATTATCATTTGTGTGTATCATTGTGTGTTTGTAAGAAGATGTACGAGTGTGTATCGCCCGCTTGTGAATGGTTTTCAATTTGTTCACTGTTCCATATAAACAACCAACCATTATCTGTGTATCCAACACCTTCAAGACATTGATGGCACCAAATCATGGCACAGACAATTTGACTTTATTTATGATTCTATTTTTATTTCATTCTAATTTTAGGAAAAATTATTTTTAAAACATGAGAGGAGAAATAATAACTCACTTCTCCGTGAGAATGATGTCTGCCGTCTGGAGTATGTTCAGGGAGAAAGTAGAGCCGTAAACTGGATAGCATAATTCCTTCCGTGCCCTTGTCTTCCCATAATAATTGCAGTTCGGCTATGCAAAGAGGGTCGTTTTCCGAGCACTTGACGAAAAAGAATTCGCCAAGCGAAATCGTTCTCCACTTCGAGTTTTTGAGAAATTTGAAGCCCTTGAAGAAAGTGTAAGGCCCATGTTGCCCACACTTGGACCCAACCCACTGTAAATTAAAACAAAGCGAGGAAATCATTAGAATAACGAAGTATTTGGAATGCAATTTAGGCCTAATTATATCTTAGTTTATGCACACAGCAGCAGCGCGACACACACACACACTAAATTCACGCATATCGTAACATTACACTCCCCCTCAAATATTACACCAAGGGTCAAACTTCGAATCGAAACTTCACTCGCGGTCTTTGAATGGTAGCAATATAAAATCACTCTCAAAACATAAAAAACGTCATGAAAATTTCCAACAACTACACCACACTGATATCTTATATATAATACTTGATTTGGTAAAATATTTCAGCAAAAACTCACCTGCAACCGGTATTTATCCATAATTTTAGCAGTGATATCGCGCTGTTTAAACAGTGGTAGTTGTGTCTTCGTGAATACACACTTGTTGTTTGACGGTGACGTCATTCTTCATTTGCATAATTTATTACACTCTTTGCTGCTTGATTTGCATCGAGAGCAATAAAGAAAGATTGACACATGAAATCACGTGATTTATTTTTATTGATAAACGTGTGATTTGCATGACAATTACTTGTTGGCATTTGAGGAAGCTAAACATCACTGCAAGATGACGATATAGCCTATTATGACAATTTAATACAGCAGCGCAAGTGAAGGCTACGATATGGAGCTGCGATATTGATGAGAAAAGGAATGCAATATTTACTATTTTCCTTACCTAAAAAAAATATAGGCCTAGACTATACTATATAGTCCTATAACTATGATATTTTCCCTGTCATTCAATCTCAGAAAATGTAGGCCTAGCCTATAGCGCATGTAGACCTATTTCAAATTAATAATTGACCATAACCTATACATATTCTTATTTTTACTTATAATTCCAAATGATAATTGTCATATAATCGGAATGACGTACATAAAGACTCTCTTCAATTACGAATAATTACTTTGCTATGATTTCAATTTTGACAGTAAAATGATAGGCCTATATAAAACTATGACAAAATATAAGTGAATTACATTACAAAGTTTTTTAATTTGTAAAAAAAATATTTTAAAAAGGAGGCGGCCCCCGAAAAAGAGGCGGGCGGGGACGCTACACATGATTTTTTGTTTTCTTTCTTAATGGCCTAAACTGACATCGACTTGACAGTAACCAATTAGATTAAATCAGATATCAAGGTCTATGGAAGAACTAAAGTTTTTTTTTTTTTTTTAAATCAATAAAATGGGATAGGAAGCCAAAGGGCATCTGTCTTCAATGGCTCATCAAGAGTGGGTGCATGGGGGCACGGGCCCCCGTCCCTGGCAAAAAAAGAATTTAAAAAAAAGATGGCCCCCACCTCTGGGGAAAAAAAGAGGAAAGATGGTATCCACAATTTTATATTTGTTTTGCTCAAGGAGGGGGAGGGGGGTGTTGAGTAAAAAAAAATAAAATAGTGCTCACTATCCTGCCCCCCCTCCATTGAGCACCCCCCAAAATGCTCATTACCCCCCCCCCCTCGCGCCGACGACTGGATCCGCCCCTTGCTGTCTCATCTCCTCCTCCCCCCCCCCCCCTAATCATAATCATGCCAACGGGCGTACAAATTAACTTGAATGGGATCGATGAGCATTATTCATTCCAGTTCTATTTTGTTTCCCGATCACCGCCCACCCCTGTAATGAAGACGTTGATGCTAGCACTGATCATTATTTATATCACCTGATCATGCTGCCCATGAGGTATGGATAGTATCCCTCAAAATGTAAGGCAAGCTAAGAAAGTTCAACAATTCAAAACTGCTCTTAAAACATATTTATTTAATATTATCATTTTTTTGCAGTTTTTCTATTATTTTTTAAACTCCGTCTTCTTTTTTTAAAACTCTTTCCTAAGCGCGTTGAGATCCTTTTGAAAGGTATATTGTGCGATATAAGAACAATACTGTTATATTATTATTATCATAACCGATGTGATTCCTTTCAATTTTAAATGAATAAGTTTAACATTATATTACTCCATGTCTCCATTCATTCATAATATATGCATTAACAAAATGTAAAAAATGGATCACGAATATTAACACTGGATGAATGTGGAGACAGCTTTTAAAGGTACTTTGTAACATTGTCAATAATGTCAAAAAATGCTTTTAGTATGGTTATTTATTCCTGGAATTAATAATTAACCATCTCTGAAAGTATGAATTGAAAAGAGGATCATTTACCCACACAAAATGTAAAAGAATGGACTTTTCGAAGATAGATTGCACTGAGAGCGGGGGAGGAGGGAAGGGGGATCCCCATTCAGTAGGTAGTTGTGCTGGTCTTCAGTGTAGCGCAAATACAGGGGCACAGTGCAAGAAAGAGAAAGTTGCAGAGAGGGGCCCGGAGGTATTGTGTGAACTTGAGGAGATATAGATAATTGAGATTGAGAGAGACAGAGAGACAGAGAGAGACAGAGAGAGAGAGAGAGAGAGAGAGAGAGGGGGGGGGGAGGGAGGAGGGGGGGGGGGTCAGAGAGAGGGTCAGAAAGAGTGAAAGAGTAAGGAAATAATTGCCTCTGACAAAGTTTACGTAGTCAGAACAAATTAGTATTGGTCGTATTCCTCTAAATTAAATGATGATTCCGTTAAATCGGCATCACAAAACAAATCACAAAATATAGATACAGAATAAATAATAGGTCAGGGCCTCTAAGAAGCAACTTTTGCTTGTACATGAGGCCCCTATCAAGGTAAACTCAATATTAAATTAAAAAGTGAAATAACTAAAACTTACTAGGTACGTACATTAAAAAGAAGAAAGGAAAAAATTACCGACCATTAACTTTCAGCAGGCATTACATGCAGTGGCGGATCCAGGGGGGGGGGGGGGGGCGGGCCCCCTGGGAAAAAAGTTAAAACACGTGATTTTTAGCTTTTTGGGGGGTGCAAATTTTCAAATTTTGCGGGAGCAAAAAAAAAAATAGTGCTCATATTGTAAAAAAGTGAAATGTGAAAAAAGTGTATTGCTTGTTTTTATACTTTTTGCTAAGGAATGTAATTTTTTAACGAAACAAAACTTCAAAATCGTTCACTATGCTCCCTCGCTACTGCTTAGCCCCGTGGACCCCACATCAATTTACGCTCCACTTGCTTTGCTCTACCTGATCGTAAATACCCCCCCCCCTCCCCCCCCCCACACACACACTTTGAAAAACATTCCGCGTGGCTTGCATGTAACATGAAAGAGTGGTGGTGATGCAGAATTTCTTTTTCTGCCTCCCCCCCAAACGTTTTTGCTCATTACGCCACTGCTCACTCGTCCCTCGCATTACGCCCCCCCCCCCCCGGGTCATGAAAAGAAATCGCCGCCCCTGTTCAGAACTGTAACATTTGAATAGAGTTCTAACACGAGAAAGTGCGGAGTTAGATGTAAGGTTATTACAAATTGAGTATTTTCAATTCTTATCGGGTCAGTGTTTGATGGATTTTTTCCCTTTGAGAATGGAACATGAATACACACTTTGTTTTCTTAAAAATCAATAACAGCGTGTAACATCTCAACCAGTCGTTTAACATTTGTAACTAGGTGATCTGCCGCGTAGCGTAGCAGAGCACCTATTGTCATATTGATTTCGTCAGACTGTATATTGGTTTCTTTTCTTTCTGTATGCATTTTGTTCGCTTCATATCTCAAAAAAAAAAGACAAGGGTAAATGACAATGTCGATGACATTTTCATGACATACTAGCCAGATTATTTTTTCCTTTCCTTTTTGTTTCTTTTTTTAGCTACCAAAGAAGGGGGGGGGGGCGACGGGTCGGCCGTGCCCCCGCCCCTGAATCCGCGCCTGAATATGGATCACTTTCAAACACTGATAATTTTCCATGAAATTGTTATATGCCTGTACAACTCGGCGAGTAAAATCGTTATAACAAAACTACCGCTCGCCGTGAGCTGACGTAGAGGTCAGTGAAAAAGTGTCGTTACCAGAGCCATTGATTTAAAGGTCGGATGAAATCCAAATATAAGTTGATTACTGTTGATGTGCAGGGCTGCATACAACTCATATTTTGATGTTCAAACATCTGAATATATTTCATAGATTTTTAAATATTTTTTAGAATAATTTTCTCAGACCTACTAAGCTCTACCCTAAAAGAATGCTCCATATCTCATTCCTAAATGACATCACCTGTCAATCATTAGTGAGCTCACAAGAGACAGTGATATGTATCTTCACCGTGGCTGACCACTTGTTTACAATAGAATTAAAGGATGGGGATGAAATGAGAAGAGAAGCTGACGACAGGAGGAAGTGGTAATAACTGTTAGTATATGGAGAGAGATTTTTGCAAAAAGCAGAACTGAAGGGAGAACTTACGCAGCCCCCACATCTTGTTATATTACGAAATGAGAATTGAGATTTCGATACCGAAAGACATTTGGACATTTTTTTAAAATTAATGAATTTATTTTCTTTCTTTGCTTGTCTAGACTTTAAATTAGATTAGGCCCTATCTGAAAATAAGCAAACATCAACCTTTTTCGAGCAAGAATTGAAAAAAAAGGGTTATGGAGAATTAAAGGGACCATACGGTATTCAATGTCACACAATGAATATTTAGCCAATACATTTCGTGATTTTAAATTAGATTAGGGCCTAGCAGAAAATAAGCAAACATTAACTTGAATTGAAGAAAAAGAAAGGTTATGGGAAAATTAAAGAGACCATACGGTTTTCAATGTCACAAAATGAATATTCAGATTGGATTCCAAAGGACATATGAAAGTCTATTCTGACTCAGTGAATCCAATATTTTGAAATGAAGATATTTTTGTAACATGAAGTCCATAATCAAATGATTTTTTTTCTTTCTAGGAAGAGTTCAGATTGCAGTTTTTTGTATTAACAATGTCTCAACTACATTCTGCTAGCTAACATTTATCTATGTGGGTTACTCAAATAACATTTCAAGTTTGGTGTTTTCAGAGGGGTGCACCAGACGTGTGCAACAGGCATAACGGCGGTGGGGGAACGTGCCCCGCCCTATATCTCTCTCTTTCTCTCGTGATGTCCTTGTAGTAACTTCTTCGCCATACGGTAATAATTGGAATTTGCATGATATAACGGCCTTGTATATTAATCTTCCTCTCACTGTCACGCATATTATCAATTAATATTTCGACTGTGAAATTCACTTTCTCCGGGACGGAGAGTAGGTCACCAGCCCTAATATAAACGTCAGTATTCCAAGAGCTGTTTCATATCTGAGCTGTGCCTACCTCTACCTATACCACATCATCATGATTCCCGCAATGAGCCTCGTACTTGTGTTGGCAGCCCCCTTTGGAGAGATGGCTTATGGACTCACCCCAGAGGAGAAATCAACTATCCTGACTCGACATAACAAGTACCGTAGTAATGTAAATCCACCTGCTGCAAATATGGTACCTCTGGTAAGTTTTGTTATATACGATACTTACTGATCTTGCGACACCACTTTCTTTTGCGAAACTTGCTCCAAGTCAATTTCCTAAACACTAACCGAATTCGTAGCTTCAACACTGGACCAACATTATGCCTAACCATAAACATTTTCAAGATTTGCAGAGAGAGGCACCAAGAAATATTTGTTAAAATTGATAATATTGATAACGATAAAAATAATAATAATAATAATAATAATAATGATACTAATAAATGCTATTATTATTATTATTATTATTATTATTGTGAACGTTAAACATTTTAGATTAATATAATGCAATGTCTGGTTTAAAAGTTAATATGTCTGTACCTAATCCGCAGGTGAAAAACTTTTGAAAGATATAGATGCTCACTTTTATAGATTTCTATGGGGGGGGGGGGGGAGAGAAAACCTGATAAAAATAAGTGGAAATCAAATGTCACAAAGTTATGCAGGTGGGGGGGGGGGGGAAGGGGTCAAAATGATAGATATATACACACATTGCCAATCATTAAAAACTTCCTGAATTAAGAGATTGGTAAGTGGCTCAATAGAACGCAATATCCTCTTTCTTTTGCAATTTTTCTTGCCCGAACCGCATTATTTAAAATTAACCCTTACTGTACATTTCCTGCTAAACCTTATGGAATAATGATTACATTAAAATAGGCAATAGCCCAATAAATAGTAAAACATTGTGTAAGAGTTCGTTTTGACAAAGATATTTTAGAGACAAAAATTTAATATTGATATTTTTGTTTCTCTCTGGAAGATAAGTATAATATTAAAATAATTTTCCTTTTTTATCGTTGATTATGCGATGCAGTTAGAGAAGGGTTTAGCAATGATATTGTACTTTTTTTTACAGGGAGCCACAACCCCTTTTTCCAGATATTACGTATTTAAGGATGTTGACATATGACATATCTATGCAATCTTATTAAAGAGAAGAAAAGCAGAATGTAAAAGTTTTCTTAAATGGAAATGCATTTTCGACCTGAATGACAAGAGTTGGGGAAAATATTGTTCAATTGGATTTAATTGTATCATTGATGTGGGCTTACGATGGTTTCAGTTTAAGGTTTTGCAACGCATATTAAAAATTACGAATGATTTACTGTTTAAACTTAATATAGTCCAAAGAAAAGAATGTCCATTTTGTAATGAACAGAGTGAAACAATCTGCTATGTCATTGTACGCATGTTAAACATAATTATTTGGGATAGGTTGGCACATTGGATATATACTGGAACCAGAAATAGAATAATATTTTCACTGCAAGATAACTTATTTGGTTTAAGAGGTTCAAATAATTATGCATTGAATGTATACTGATTGTGGTGCGACAGATGGTGTATACGTGCAAAATAAAGAAAACATTGCCCGATATAGTGCCGGGCTACGAAAAAATGAGACGCTGCCGGGCTGGTATCGGAACCCTGAACACTTGAATTGAGAGTCAAGTGAATGAACCACTGGACCACGGCAACGGTGCATATTAAAGCTAATTGCGCTCACAGGCTGATTAATTAGCGCAAGTAATAATGCAACAGGTGAGCAAAATGAGTTTGTTGATAACGCCATTTCGGCGGCTTGAATCAAGTGTGTACGTCCATTTGCGCATACGAGGAATGCTTTGCATCATTGCTTGCGCTAATCAAACCGTCAGGGCAAATAATGCATACACCCATAAATTAACAGTAACGCTTAGTTCGTTCGTTCGTGTCTCCTTAGATCAAGATAGTTAATATGTAAAGTTCCTTAATTAAAAGTAAATTAAATTAAATTAAGTTCTTCCATCGCCCGATTGCTGCAATGGCCGTTTCATTAACAAGGGCCAGGTCTTCATCTGTGCAACCCGTTCCACCGCACTGCAAGAAGTGGTCCATCGTCTGAGTCTCTCCGCAGTCGCAGAGAGTATCTCCTTCATGGGCATAGCCCCATCTTGCCATATTGACCTTACACCGCCCCATTCTCGTCCGCATTCGATTTAGGCATTGCCACTCCGGCCACTTCAGGTTAAGCCCTTTGATGAGTACGGGCTTGGCTGATGGTGGAGGATTCTGTTCAGGTGGTGGGACAGAATCGAGGAAGCTGTGTCGGGATATAAGTCGTTTGTGGGGTTGTAAGTATCCGTGTATCATGTGTCTGTCATCTGTCGCCTGCTTCATTCGTTCCTTTAGGCAGGTGTTAGTGCGCCTTTGGTTAGGAGATCCAATGCCAGCGAGGTGATATATATCTCCTCAACTTTTGTTGGTTTCAGGCAGCCTGTTATCTTTCGATATGTGTTATTGAGTGTGGTGTCAAGCTTCTTCACATGGGCTGATCTGCTCCAAACTGGGCAAGCATATTCTGCGGATGACATGCAGAGGGCAACAGCTGCACTTTGTACAGTTTTGGGGTCAGCGCCATAGTGTGAAGATGCCAACTTCCCGATGATTGCATTTCGAGACTCTACTTTGCCTATTGTCTTCTCGATGTGTTTCTTGAACGATAAAGTGCGGTCAAGTTTTACACCTAGATACACTGGATACTCGCAGTGGTTAAGCTGCACATTGTTCCACTTTAGCTTCAGTTCTCTCTTTGCTTCCTTGTTCTTCAAGTGGAAAACACACACCTGAGTCTTGGATGGGTTTGCCCGTAGGTAATTTGCCCTGTAGTACGTACTCCGAAAGGTTTGCGAGCGCTGTGTTCAGATGGAGTTCAACAGCTTCGAAGGTACTATGCTGGGCTGTGATGCAGGTGTCATCTGCATAGATGAAGTTTCGAGTGTTCTTTGTTGAAGGTATGTCAGCAGTGTAGATGTTGTAGAGTGTTGGCGCCAGGACGCCACCCTGGGGGAGACCGTTTTTCTGTTTCGCTTAGTTTGCACGATATCACTCTCACATGACGTATCAGAGACCGCGCCAGTCGTTGACGCAGTCTTGCGTCAAGCAAATGACGCCTCGTGTACAACGATGATTGTCTTGCGATCTTGTGCCATGCATTAATGTGCTAAAACCAAGTTGATAATATTCGAGCACCAAAAGTAGCAGTGCTAGACATGAGCGCTATATGCGAACCCACCATCGTAATTATGATCCTACATACCCAATATCATTATTCAATGCTAATTATTTAATTACCTGTAAAGGTTTCAATGTAAACTATATGAGCAAATGAAATGGCACTCTTCTGATTTTGTTTTTCTCTCCCTCTTTTCTTTTTTTGCAGTATGTCTCTTTACGTTTCTATTTTCTGTTCTTACTTTATTATGAGAAATATTTTGATTTGATTTGATTTGATTTGATTTATTTATTTCTGTTTGATTTTCTTTTTCTTTTGCATTTTTACAAATATATAACAAACAAATATTGCAAATTTACACATGACAAAAGAATATATGTAGAATAAGGTAAGGCTGGGTGTAACTAATCGAGAACATCAAACAGGAGGGTTGACAAAATAAGCAAAGCTTGATAGTATGACTACCCTCAAAGGATACATAATAATACAAATATGGAAGAACAAAATATTGGTAAAAAGGGGGAAAAGACAGAAAAAAGAAGAGAAAAGAAAGAGGGGATGCACATCAATATTCACAGACTTATGTGGTAGTTGGATTTCAAATTGATATATAAAGATTTTAAATAAGAAAAGAAATGCAAATTTGAATACTTAGAGTGGCCAACTTGGGATACAATAGAATGAGAAGACTCTCAAGGTTCGGACAGTAAGAATGTGAAAGTAAGATCAACCAGCTGGTTTTAAACCTGGGCCTGCGAGTCAGAGCCTTGAAATGTTTGTATAGAAGACAGTGTTTATTCAGTATCCCAAGTAGGCCACTCTTTATTCATACGTGTATTCATACCAGGTCATGGAAGGTTATAATCAACGTTTCAATAAATGGAAGCAAAAAAAAGTAAACAGTACAGAAAATTATCGAATTTTGTAACGATGGGTAAACGAGGAGAATTTTTTATGATTATTATCATTATGAAATAGTTTCACCAGGATGGTTGTAATAATGACTTTAAAGTTCTTCTATCACGTCCAAACGGAAAAATTACCTGTAACAATTTCGATGTCTAGAGTTTATTATCTTTTTAAAGATAAGTGCAATATGTTGAACAATTCTTCTTACTTTCTTATCCCTTTTTTCGTTCCTTGTCAGTTTTGGTGAATTTATTCTTTTCAATGCAATTATATAATGTTTGTATGTATCAGTCTTTGGACTGTTTCTACAACCCATTTTCTTTCAATGAACCGAAATAAATGACAAAACAAACAATCCAATTATTGCCTCGTTCTCTGGTAACAGCAATGGGGCAACAAGCTTGCAACGTTGGCGCAGACGTGGGCTGACCAATGCACCTTCGGCTACAACAACCCGTCTACAGAAAGATGGGACGTGGTAGGCCAGAACATCGCCAAAGGGTTCGGCAGCAGTCTCATTTCTTTGATGAATTCGTGGAATAGTCAGAAGGCTAATTATAACCTCGACACCAACATGTGTTTAGCTGCCGGCGGATCCTGTAACGATTACATTCAGGTAAGTTTTAAAGCTTAAAACTAGCTATTGAAAATACATAAACAGTGGCGGATCTACGGGGTTGGGGGGGGGGGGGGGGTTAGCGGGTTTAACTCCCCCTTTGGGCTGCCAAGTGAAGATGTGATGTGCATAGAAAAACGCCATCATAATGTCCGGACCCACACAAGAGGACACTTTTTTTTTTTTTGGTCTCGGAATTTGAAAATTTGACATTTTGCTCCGTTGGAGGGGAGGGGGGGGGGTAAGGTCACCTGTTTTAGGTTAGCCATGTGAATAATTTTTTTTTAATAATTAAAAAAAAAAAAAAAAATCAATCCAATTTTTTTTTTTTTTTTTTTTTTTTTTTGGGGGGGGGGGGGGGGGGGTTACACACATAAAAATACAAAAAAGGGGGTTTAACCCCCCCCCCCGGATGACATCCTGATAAACGGCCTGTTAAGACGCGCGCGGAACTCTACCCGGGTAGAGTTGACGTCAGGGCCGTGAAAAAATGTATACAAGTCATATAATATGTACACAGCGCGCGCCAGCTGATCGCGAGGAGGAAGGTGCGGTTATTATGGTAACCTACCCGGGTGAGGTTTTCGCGGATGGCTGGTTAAGACGGTGTCCATGAGCCTGGCAAAAGCTCACCCCGTGTTTCACGATCAGACCCCCAACTGTTTCTCATCCACATGTCGCTCGGCTGAGATCGAAAAAGTTCTATTATTGGGGCTTTAATACTTGATTAAAAAAAAACGTTATCATGCACTGCTTTTATGATGTCCATTGTGTTATTAGTACATGCCAGGAACATATCACAAAGTACGGGGGTTCAAAATAGCATCGTCATTGGGTCAACCCCCCCCCTCCCCTTAGAAAAAAGCTAGATCCGCCCCTGATACAATTAAAGGGATAGCTGAGTTCTTGTTTAAGACCGCAAATGTCTTAAAATTGCATGGTTATTGTTCTTATTTTTATGCCATTTCTAGTGTCCTTTTAGAATCTAAAATCGCTATGAAGGTAATTTATTTAAGACCCCCCAATACGATCATACCAATTCAGCTCCACTTTCTGAAATATACGGCGACCGTTAATTAATTAATTAATTAATAATAACAATACACAGACCGGCTGGCTGTGCGTATTATAACCAACACGAAAAAGCCATCAAAAAGCAAACATTGGCATTGGCTTGAATAAAACGTATAAGGCGCTGTCTCGTTTTTCAACGGCTGGTTTAAAATTACCAAAAATTTGTGGGGCACCACAAATATTAAAAATGGTTATATTTATGGATATTTCAGTAGTTCTCAGAACCGATTTTGATCTTGATTTTGTCATTTGAATTGTATATTCTTTCAAATTTGACACTCAGTTTTTCATTATCTCACCAATTTCTTTTTGTTTAGCGCCCTCTGCAACAAAACTCAACTATTCCTTTAACAACTTTATTATTGATATCCTTACCAAGTTTGGTCATGTTTAAGTATGTTTCTTGAAAATGTGACACATTACAGCTTACATCTAAAAGTATTCAACAAAAGACCTAATTCAACCAGTCCGCCTTTCATTCTTGAGTTACAAAGAAACACACAAAACATTAGATTTGCCATGGGTTTGAACAATAATATTTAATTGTTTGTTGGTAGAGTCCTTTTTACAAAAAGCGTACCCCGACGACGAAGATGATGGTGATGATGATTATTCTTTTTTGGACCCTCCGACAGGCCATTTATTGATGATAAATATCTGAATAACATCATGTACAAATGAATATCATATAAAAAATCAGAATAAGATATACGTATAATGAATATAATAGCGATGAACCCGATCAAACGTATAGCGAACGATGTATACAACGTAATAGCTGCAAAATTGGAGGAGCAAGTTGTGGAGAAAGTGTATGAAGCTGTCAGTTTGGATTTGAAGAAATACACAGATGAAGTAGGAACCATGAAAAAGAAAATAGCTGAAATGAAGAAGGAAACAAAAGTGCTACAGGATGAGAAAGAAGATGCAGAACAATATAGTAGGAGAAATTGTCGGCGAATTCCTGAAGGACCAGAAGTGAAGACAGACGAAGCTCGGTCTTACAGTTCAACCGGATAGATAGCAGTCACCGCCAGGGGCGTCGCTAGACCTTTTTCAGTGGGGGGGGGGGGGGGGGGGGGGGGGGTGTAGAGGCCAACAATTACCGACAAAACTAGCCACCAATTACCGAAAAAATTAAATGTCCAATATCTACAAATTCAACCCTATAAACCTGGGGCCGACTATCTATCTATAGTAATTGCATATGCGCAAAATGGTCATTTCCTCGACGACATAAATATACGAATCATTTCTTCAATTAAGTCAGCATCATAGCTATATATTTTAATGCAGGCGCGGAGCTAGGATCTTATTTAAGGGAGGGGCGGTAGTGAGCAAGAGAATCACTTAAAAGCGCGCTCATTAGTGGGGTATGGGTGATTGGCCTCCGCGCGAAGCGCGGAAGCTTAGACGTTTTCTTAAATTATTAGAAGAAGACGATTAATTGTACCGTTTTCGACTGGTAATCCTTGGCTGTATGAATCCCCCTTCCCGCGCCAAGCGCGAAAGCTTTGACGTTCCATTAAATTATTATAAAAAAGAAGACGATTTGCTGTACCGTTTTCGACTGTTTATCCTTTTCTGAATTCAGTTCCCCCCCTCCCGCGCAAAGCGCGGAAGCTTTGACGTTTCATTAAATTATGAGAAAAAGCAGACGATTCGGTGTACTGTTCTCGACTTATAATCCTTGTCTAAATTCAGTTTCTCCCCCTCCCGCGCGAAGCATGGAAGCTTTGACGTTTCATTAAATTATGAGAAAAAGCAGACGATTCGGTGTACTGTTCTCGACTCTTAATCCTTATCTGAATGAAGATTCCCCCTCCCGCGCGAAGCGCGGAAGTTTTGACGTTTCATTAAATTATTAGAGAAAGAAGACTATTGGTCGTACCGTTTTCGACTCTTAATAAGCCCTATTCATCCAAATTAAGTTCCCCCCTCTCACGCGAAAGCTTTGACGTTTCCTCATATATTAGAGAAAGAACACGATTCGTTGTACCGTTTTCGACTCTAAATAAGCCCTATTAATTTTGTCTTAATTCAGTATCCACCTCTCGCGCGAAGCGCGGAAGCCTTGACGTTTCCTTAAATTATTAGAGAAAGAACACGATTCGTTGTACCGAAACGCGGAAGCTTTGACGTTTCACTAAATTATGAGAAAAAGCAGACGATTCGGTGTACTGTTCTCGACTTATAATCCTTGTCTAAATTCAGTTTCTCCCCCTCCCGCGCGAAACGCGGAAGCTTTGACGTTTCATTAAATTATGAGAAAAAGCAGACGATTCGGTGTACTGTTCTCGACTCTTAATCCTTATCTGAATGAAGCTTCCCCCTCCCGCGCGAAGCGCGGAAGTTTTGACGTTTCATTAAATTATTAGAGAAAGAAGACTATTGGTCGTACCGTTTTCGACTCTTAATAAGCCCTATTCATCCGAATTAAGTTCCCCCCTCTCACGCGAAAGCTTTGACGTTTCCTCATATTATTAGAGAAAGAACACGATTCGTTGTACCGTTTTGACTCTAAATAAGCCCTATTAATTTTGTCTGAATTCAGTTTCCCCCTCTCGCGCGAAGCGCGGAAGCTTTGACGTTTCCTTTAATTATTAGAGAAAGAACACGATTCGTTGTACCGTTTTCGACTCTAAATAAGCCCTATTAATTTTGTCTTAATTCAGTATCCACCTCTCGCGCGAAGCGCGGAAGCCTTGACGTTTCCTTAAATTATTAGAGAAAGAACACGATTCGTTGTACCGAAACGCGGAAGCTTTGACGTTTCACTAAATTATGAGAAAAAGCAGACGATTTGGTGTACTGTTCTCGTCTCTTAATCCTTGTCTGAATTCAGTTTCTCCCCCTCCCGCGCGAAGCGCGGAAGCTTTGACGTTTCATTAAATTATGAGAAAAAGCAGATGATTCGGTGTACTGTTCTCGACTCTTAATCCTTATCTGAATGAAGCTTCCCCTACCGCGCGAAGCGTTTCATTTGACGTTTCATTAAATTATTAGAGAAAGAAGACGATTGGTCGTACCGTTTTCGACTCTTAATAAGCCCTATTCATCCGAATTCAGTTTCCCCCTCTCGCGCGAAAGCTTTGACGTTTCCTCATATTATTAGAGAAAGAACACGATTCGTTGTACCGTTTTGACTATAAATAAGCGCTATTATTTTTGTCTGAATTCAGTTTCCCCATCTCGCGCGAAGCGCGTAAGCCTTGACGTTTCCTTAAATTATTAGAGAAAGAACAGGATTCGTCGTAACGTTCTCGACTCGTCTAAATGAAGTTTCCCCTTCAGCGCGAAGCGCGGAATTTTTGGGCGTTTCATCAAAATATAAAGAAAGGAAGACGATTCGTCGTATCGTTGTTGACTCTTAAACCTTGTTTGAATTTAGTTTTCCCCGAAAATTTTAAAGCTCTGATTTCTTTAGCTGATATTAGAGGCAATTGAAACTTCGAAAAAATACAAGTATTGTAGTTGTAGTCACTCTCGAAGTCGTCACAGAGGATAAGAAGTAACAGTTCGTAGGGAAAAAAACTTGTCGGCCGACCGACAATATACATCCCACCGACTTCAAACTTCTGCATTGATATAGTACACGAGGATCGAGCAAGAATACCGACACAGCTGACCCGACACAGCAACATATTTAACCGTGTTTTTCTTGCTCCCTCGACGAGACGACTCCATCCATCAACCCCCTTCTCTCTTTTACTCCCACTCCTCCTCTCTCAGACTCTCTCTCCTCTCTTTCATCCCCCGTTTCTTTTGTTTCCCTTTCACTCTTTTTACTTCTTTTTTTCCTTCTTTCTTTTCTTTCTTTTCCTTTCTTTCCTTTCTTTCCTCTCCTCCCTCTTTTTCTTTTTCTCTTTCTTTCTTCTCTTTTCTTTCCTTTCTTTCCTTTCTTTTCCTTTCTTTCTTTTCTTTTCCTTTTTCCCCCCTCCCCCTTTTCTCTTTTTCCCGACGGCAGCGCATTTTTACCGACAATATCCTGACAGGTGGGGGGGGGGGGGGGGGTGTCGCACCCCCACACCCCCCTTTGCCCTTTGGCGACGCCCCTGGTCAGCGCATCTCTCCACGTCCGAGCCACGCTGCTGATGAGGGACGCGAGTCATCGACTTCGCCACCGTACGCGAGTACTACGAGGAGGAACAAACCGAAACCGATCATAGTAAAATTTAGCAGATATAATATCCGTAATTATGTGTAAAGAGCCAGGACGAGACTGAAGAATGTTGATGGACCGAAAATATGGCTAAAGGAGGATCTCACTACAAAGCGAGCTAGCCTCTTTTGGGAACTTGTTAGCATCAAGAAGTCTAAGTCATGTTGGACTCAGGATGGAAACATCTTCGCTCTAAGTACAAGGGACTAAAAAGACCAGGATCAGAACTACACAAGACATTGAAAACTTGTCAGAACTCCTTTTCCACTCTGTTATATTTCGATAGCTAATTATATATCATGCCTGGACAAATTAATCTGACTCACGTTGAATTTCCATGTTTAGGTTGCCGGAAAGAAGTGAAAGAATATCATAATGCCTCATTATGTGTACATTGTAACAAATGAGCTCATCTGAGATGTACACATGCATCTACTGATACGTTTAACTCTGATGCCAATTGGATGTGTAATTTTTGTAGTCTTAAAGAACTCCCTCGATACGTCGATGAACCTGATATTTGTTCTCGAAATGCGGATGCATGTAACCAGGCGCGTACGCAGGGGGGGGGGGGGGGGGGGGGGTTAAACCCCCCTTTGGTATTTTGTGTGTGTAACCCCCCTAAAATTAATATTTGCCATTTAAATGTCAGCTCTCTGATGAAGAATTTTGAAGAGATTCGTAATATTTTAACCACATCTAACATGCATATTTTTTCTTATGTGAAACTCGATTAGATGGTTTTATTTCTAACCCTGAAATATTCATATCAGGTTATAAAATTGTGAGATTAGATAGAAATAAAAATAGTGGTGGAATTATAACTTATATTAAAGACACCGTACCATTCAGTATAAAAAATGAATTCTTTGTTGATGGTTTGGAACTAATGTGCTTGGAGATCTGCTTACCAAAGCAAAAACCCTTCTTAATAGGTCATTGGTACAGACCACCAAATTCCCATAATGCACACTTTGAGAAATGTGAAACTTTGTTACAACTCTTAGAGTCATCCTCTAAAGAATTTAATATCTTTTGGGATCTCAATTGTGATTTATAAAAAAAGCCCTATGTCAAGTCAAACGAAAACTCTGAAGCTTTAAGTGAAGAAAACATTTCGAATAATGCAGGTAAATTAAATGCAATGTGGAAATCATTGAGACGTATCATACCTAAAAATGTCAATGATAGCGGTTTTCAAAAGATAATTATTGACAATAAAGAAATAACAGGTTCAAAATATATTGCATCATGTTTGAATGATCATTTTGTAGATTTACCATCTAAAGGGAAGAGAACCAAAATATTTGGTGGTAATATGGATCAGTATATGACTCAAGTAAGCTCAACATTTAAGTTTAAAGAGATAACAGATAATGATGTATTGAAATGTATTCATGATATTGCAAGGAATAAGGCCACTGGCCTCAATCAAATACCAGCAAGTTTAGTTAAAGATTCTATAGAATAATGAAGAACAATAGAATTGTTAAACCGCTAACTCAAATCATCAATGCGTCATTAAGAAAGGGGACAATTCCTGGTGCCTGGAAAAGGGCCCGGGTGACGCCTATTCACAGAGATGGTGATAGAGCTAATCCACGCAACTATAGGCCAATATCGGTCTTACCTGTATTATTAAAGTGCTGGAAAACTTGTGTTTAATCAAGTGTATGATTACCTTTCAAAGAATGAACTATTATGTCATAATCAACACGGCTTCCGCCCGAAACATTCGACTTTGACTGCACTCTTATCTCTCACAGAAGATGTTTGTAAACAAAATTAGACAATGGGTATGTAGTAGGTATTGTATTGCTCGACTTATAAAAAGCGTTCGATTTTGTATCGTTTGAGATTTTGCTTAAAAAGCTACAATGGTTTTGATCAAAATTCAATATGTTGGTTTCAGGATTATTTCCATGATAGGGAACAATGCACTTTGGTAGACGGTAGCATGTCACAGATCAGAAAAGTAACAAGCGGAGTGCCCCAAGGAAGTATCCTTTGGCAATTGATGTTTATTATCACTCTGAATGATTTATATAAATCAATCAACAAATGTTCCCTTTCTCTGTATGCGGATGACACTTGCATGTATTTTTGCATCAAAAGACCCAAAGATATATTAGAGAAAGTAATCAATGGTGATTTGAAATCAGCTACGACATGGCTTTAAAATAATGAATTGTTGCTTAACGTTGACAACTGTCAGGTCATGTTAACTGGTTCAAAGTCAAATTTGAGTCGTTTCTGTCACAGATGAAAAAATAGCATTAATACTGTACAAAACCTTTATTCAGCCTCATTTCGCTTATTGCAGCACGATTTGGATGAACGGTACAGAAACTCGGTTAAAACAACTGCAAACTCTACAAAATAGGTGTTTGAGATCTGTACTTGGAGTTAATAGTAGATATCACCTTGAAATTCTTCATAAAACCCTTGAAATTGACATGCTAAAAGAATACTGGGTCAAACAGGCTTTAGTTACTATATTTAAGTTGTTACATAATCTTGGTCCACCTGTCTTATCGTCATCGATCCAACTTAATACGAATATAGGCTATATTTTCGTTATGCAAATTCACAAATCCCCTTCCAAGACCGCACAAATTTTCTTCAACATAGTCCATTATACCATGCATCATTTTTTTTTAATACCCTACCAAACGATATCAGAATTATGAATGTTTTAAATCTTACAACATTGAGATTAGTAAAATTCAAGATATTTGCTCTCTTCTTTCGTCTCGATGGTATTTTTTTTTTTCTCCCCCTTACTTTGTCACTATGATTCTATTTTTTACTTAAATTTCTGTAAATATGTTCACTTATTATAACTTTGTCACTATGATTCTATTTTGTACTTAAATTTCTGTAAATATGTTTACTTATTATAACTTGCATATTTGTTTGTAAATTTTTTTCATTGTTTTATATTCTATTCTAATTATGTTCAGCCTCGCTGAAAAACAGCTTTTGCTGAATGCGGGCACAATTGTATTTTTGTTTTTAACCGTGAATAAATAAAATATACCACACCATACCTGTAAAAGTATAACTTATTGATAATAATAACATGATAATGATAGTATACATACAGAACATGATAATAACAAATTATTAAATACATTTTCTTCATTATTACGCACTTTGTCAAATAATTCAATGCAAATACAAGACCCAATTGGAAAGTTGTAATATGAAAGTATATGGACCTTTATGCCTTGAAGATATTTCATGCTTGTTGGAAGATTAAAAAAAAAGGATGTAGACATATATATCAAGTCATGCTAAAAGAAAAGGACGATCATTTGAATATCATGTAATAGATGGCATGCAGATAGTATTTCAAAGTATAATAAATATATGAAATATTATTTCAGTGTTATGTTTCGCTGTATAATGCATACAACAGTTCGGTACTTCAGTACAGACTTTTAAATAGGATACTATATTTGAATAAAGATTTTGTGAAAATTTAAATAATTCTAAATTAGAACTGTTCCCTTTGTGGAAGAGAAGAGGAAGATATGGTGCACTTTTTTACTCATGTAACGTGACCAAATCGATTTGGAGTCGTTTGATTGACTGGTTATACATTGTAACACGTTGTAGAATAAAACTGTCGTTAATACATGTTTTGTTTGGTTTCATTGAGAAACGAAATTATTTATTATGTAATAATTTGAACTAGACAACAATTATATTTATTCGAATATACAAATCTATACGGACCTTCCAGACAATACAACGACATATCAGGAATAGTTACATAAATGAGAGGCAGGTTAGTATTCTTGCTAACAAAACTGACAAATTTGATTAAAAATGGTTAAATTTGGAGAGGATTTTGATCGTTTGATAGTATTATTTAATTGAGTTTCCAAAATTATTTTCAGTAACAATGTTGCATTTTTTTCTTTCTTCTGGAAATGAAGAGTATGTATGTTTATATGTTTATATATATAATTTTTTATTAATCTATTAGGATTATTAATTTTATTATTTTGCTTAACGTTGTTTATTTTATAATTATTATTATTATCATCGTATTTATTATGTCATAAATTAGCATCATTTTTATATCATTGTTATTGTTATTATTATTACTAGTAGTAGTAGTTGTAGTCGTTGTTGTTGTTGTTATTGTTGAACTTGTTTTATTGTCATCACCATTTTTTCTTCATTTTGGTTTATACAGCTGATTTGGGCTGCAACCTCTTTCGTTGGATGTGGCAAGGCTCAATGTGGGTCAAAGACACACCTCGTCTGTAACTACGGACCCGGGTAATTTGATTCGTTGTCATCCTCGCATGGTCATTGTTCCTATTTTGCCCGGGATATTTATACACACACACACACACTATCACAATAACACACACACACACACACACACACACGCACGCACACGCACACATACACACACGCACACGCACACACACGCACACGCACACACACGCACACGCACAAACATGAGTACATGACTGCTTTGAAATGGCACATTGCTTGGAAACGGAATTAGCATATTATGTATTGTTACACTCATAGTCATAATCATATCATATTTATCTTTCTCTATTATGTTGTGGAAAATATATATTGGAGAGACGGGAGATATTGTAAGAATTATAACTTAACATTAACCCATCAGAAAGTAAATCAAATACTGAATGTAAAGTAAACATATTTCAAGATGTGCAATTTAAAAAAAAAATTTTTGTTGGTGTTTGACTGCACAATTCTGTAAATTGAGAACCGTAAACGAAGCTGAACGAAAAACCCCACCCCCATGAAAAAAGTACAATGCATTTTATCAATATATATTTCAACCACAGCTGAACAAGTTTTAATTAAAAGTAGTGAAGAATGATGGAATTATTTGAATTAAACTTGTCCTTGAGTTGATTCCTCGAAGGTCTTGATATTAAATCGTTATTTTACTATCTTCCAGACCTAACATGTTGTCAGGTCGCCCATACCAATCAGGTACACCCTGTTCTATGTGTCCTGCCAGGGGAGGAAATACATATAGTTGCGAGGATAATCTCTGCACCTGTAAGTATAATTCAATTAACTTTATTACAAATTCAATTCAATCAAGGTTTATTAAAAAGGGAAGTCAACTCTGGTATTGATAAAAGCAGAAAAATGAGAGAAATAAATCAGTGAAAATTTGATCTCCGATTCAAATGATAAAAGTTATGAATTTTTGAAGTTGTCATCAGTGGAACAAAAATTGGCAACACTGACGTATCCTGCGAGCTCCTCTCCAATTCTATCTGTACAGAAAATTTCATAAACTTTAATTTAATTTTCTTAGTTATTGATGACAGTATATTAAGTGCCATATCGGGGTTGTATACAAACTCCTTTAAAAAAAAAGATATTTAGGATAATTGTATAATTGAACATTTTCTGAGGGGAAAATAATTTTTTTTGGAAGTTTTTTAGTAGAACCATTGACCTACTACAAACAGGGCGAATTGAAAAGGACCTCGCAAGATGCGTCACAGAGTTACCAATCTGTATTTGATTGATCGCACCTGCAGCAATTAATAACTGTACTATTTTTAGTCAGTTTTTGCTCAAACTTTCACTGACCTGACTCTTTCATTTTTCTGCTTCAATTAAAATACAATATCAGGTTGGACTACCCCTTTAACGATGACTGGTAGTCACAAACTGAATTATACATGTTTCTACAGTGCAAGTAAAATACCGAATTTATACAAATTGCAGCAATAAGAAAACATGTACAATAGAAAGTAAAATGTACGTGAAATAGATTACATTGATAAAATTGTAAAACAAAAGCCTATAAAAGACTGGTAAATGCATTAGCATTGCATCCAATTACCTCGCTGCTCTCAGTGTAAACATATTGCACTATAATAAACAGGACTAGGTCAAAGAAAATGAACGGTGTGTTTCTGGAAAGAAAAGTAGACTGCAAGCAACATAAAAGGAGATATTAGATACTGAATAGAGGAAGAAAGAGAGTGGGGGATTCTATTTGAAACAAGAAAGAGAAATACAGGTGCCCATTTACACCTGGGCTCGGTTTCATAAAAGTGATAAAACTTACCACCGATGATAACTTTGCCTTTAAACATTATTGTTGTGATAAGTGGTGGGTGTTTCGATGCGTTTTATTTATCTTCTCACAATTATCCTCTTTGTTTAGTGAACTAATGGCTTGGCAAGGCTGACATGACAACGAGATTGGACTGAACTATACCCAACTACAACACGTCCAAAGTACCTGATTGCAACTTTGAGTTTTACTTCTACGGTTCTACCCATCATTATTTCGGGGTAATGCGCTAAACCGCCACACGTACCGCGGCAGGTTCATTTTTTTCGTGTAAAATCTGCTGGTTGTGATTTACTTCATTTAAGATATATAGAGGCCTTCTTTTTATTTTTATTTTGAAGTCTGGGTTGGTAATATTTTAAATGTTAATGCATTGCACACTGCATTCTATTCTTCCTTAATCTTTATTGTTCATGTCTGTGTAACCATTATTTGTTTTAATTTGATCCTATCTGTCTTTTTTTTACCATTATCTAAATCTTGAATTATAGTTTTTATTCATCGTTGAAAGACAATATTTAATATTAGATACCTTAGACAAATTCCAAGATGTGATTGGTCCAGAGCTCGTCACGTGTTATTGCGAGGACCGTAATTGTTATATTTTCCTGGCCGGTCAGCAGCTGTCGAAATGAATATATTTTTATTCATTGCATGTCGCCCTCTTCTTGAGGACTGTATGTCAACAATAACACCAATACCGAGGGTCAATTTTTGACTGGCAGGGGGTATATAACATTCCTCGGACCTGAAGGCAGTTGCCAATATTTTCCCTCAGCGCTGCGCGCTTTGGGAAAATATAACCACTTGGGAAAATAAAACTCCCTTCAGCGGTCCAAAGAATGTTATATTACACCCCTTCCAGTCAATATCTGTATATTATTATCCCTACCATATAGGTTTTTTTCATTAATTCAATTTAATTTTAGTGTGCTAATACTTCTTTTAAAATGAGAATTCTTCTGTCACAGCCCTAATTGTGTTAACTAAATTGAGTCACAAAGGATATACTTGCCGTGGGCCGGGAGCGGCAATATGCGCAGCGCATGAGGCGGTATAGAAGGGTAAATTTTTACCACTTTTCCGGGTGCGGGTGGGGGGGGGGGACCTTTCTTTGCGGGAGAGGCCGGTATAAATATATTAAAAATGGGCCATAACAGGGAAAAATTCAAAAATGGTTGGGAGAATTTACTGTTAATCACTGTTACAGGGGTGTCATACATCGACTCCTTCAAAGAAAACCATATATATCTTCGTGGTTTGAGAGTTTGTTCAGGATTTTTTGCATGTCAGAGGTTTAGTACAGTAGAAGGAATATAGTAAGTAACATTTTATACAAAAATTAAGCAATTTTTTCATCAACCTTCAACAATGTTACCCATTCACTTTGAGCACATGGTGCCGGGCCTGATTTCCTTATCTTTCTACGCTCACTACTCAGCCCCTATACATTTTCTTCCAAAATCGTTTGGCATATGTCATTAATTTGTAATCTTGAACATTCTGTGTAAGTTTTGTTGGATTCTGTGAGAATGTATTTTCTAGCATTGCCAGAACTCAAGCTTATCATAAAGTTACATCTGTTAACGTGGTGTGAATGCTAAGTTATATCCCTTTTCAATCTTTGATATTAAATGAATCAATTTTATTCAAAGAGGTTTGTCAGTTGCTCTAAATATTCGACCCTTTCTCGAAAATGCTTTTGGTTAAATTATTTGTAACTTATAAGCTCAATTTAATACACTGCGTTGTATTTCTTCTAAATAAAATTCTGGTATTAAAGGGAAAAAATACATGTTTTTGCATTTTTTATTTGTCTCAAATGGGTTATGTTTCATTTTTAAGTAGGCTGAGGAGGCGAGGAGATGTCCTTATTTTTTGCCCCAAAGAAAGAAAGACCTTGTCAGTGATAAATACGCGTCGTAATGGTTTGGTATAAAACTGTCAGAGGTTAAAAGGCCAGAGTTAAAAATGCCAGGGGTATAGAAAAAAAAGCCCAAAGTAACAATTCTGCACTATCATTTTCGATAGATGCCAGGGGCGGCGATCTAAGGGGAAGGGGGGAAGGACACGTTTCCCCTTAATTTGTTTAGAAGGGGATCGTCCCCCGGAAAATTTGAAAAAAGTGCACACAAAGAAATGTATAGCAAATAGTGACTAAAGACTGCAACACACTTTTAGGCTCTGGAGGGCCCAAGAGAACAGCGTTTAGACTAATAAAAATGCAAACATCTTATCGCTCGGTCGTTACGTTCCCTCGCATAATATCCTTCAAAATGTAAATATTCAAGTAAATATTATTAAAAAAAGGTACTAAAATTTAACTACTAAATATTTACAACCCTTCGGACTGCACACCAATTACCAGCGAAGTAAAAGTGAAGAGAGAAAACGTATATTGCTTGTTTTTATACTATATAGTTTGCTAAAGAATGCAATTTATTAATAAACAAATTATTAAAAAAAAACCTGTGAGGGGGTAGTTACTTCCATCACCTTCGCCCCTCTCGTTCACTATGCTCTCACATCCCTCGCATTTAGTCCCCCCCCCCCCGGTAATGAAAAGAAATCGCCGCCCCTGAAATATAGACGCATTTCCATTTTGCACCTTTCCTTTTCTCAGATCAATTAAAAAAGAAACAATTAAGCAATTAAGCAATTAAGTAGTTTACAGGCCAGGAATTTTGTTTGGTATACTCAGAAATCAATAAAGGGTAGGGAGGAAATAAGAAGCGTAAGACAGGAGAAGATTGTAGATAGAACGACGAAGGTGGTAATAACTGCTACAGTTAGTATATTATAGAGAGAGGGAGTTAGGCAAAGGCAGAGGAGAAGGGAGAACTGTGCATCAGGTATGGTGTAACTTTAGATACAGAGAGAAGAGAGAAAGAGAGATGAGTGAGGGAGTGAGAGAGAGAGAGAGAGAGAGAGAGAGAGAGAGGGAGAGAGAGTGTGAGAGAGAGAGAGAGAGAGAGAGAGAGAGAGAGAGAGAGAGAGAGAGAGAGAGAGAAAGAGCATTTCATAGTCGAAAGATTGATTGATAATATTCGTCGCTGTTTTCACGAAGTGACGGTAGTGAACAAAAATTGCATTGACTTTGCGTTACGATTTATGCATGATAATGAGAGGAAGATAATTATATAAGGCCGTTATGTCACGCAAATTCCATTACCGTATGACGAAGAAATTACTACAAGGACATCGCGGGAGATAGAGATAGGGGTTGGGGCACGTGCTCCCACCACCGTAATGCATGTTGCACACGTCTGGTGCACCCCCCTCCGGACCCCCCTGAAAACAATTGAAATGTTATTTGAGTAACCCACATAGATCAATATTAGCTAGCAGAATATAGTTTAGACGTTGTTAATACTGTATACAAACAATTACAATGTGAACTCTTCCTATATAGAGAAAAAGAAATCGTTTAATTATGGACTTTATGTTATAAAGATATCTTCATTTCAAAATATTGGATTCACCGAGTCAGAATTGACTTTCATATGTCCTTCGGAATCCAATCTGAATATTCATTTTGTGACATTGAAAACCGTATGGTCTCTTTAATTTTCCCATAACCTTTCTTTTTCTTCAATTATTGCTTGTAAAGGTTAATGTTTGCTTATTTTCTGCTAGGCCCTAATCTAATTTAAAATCACGAAATGTATTGGCTAAATTGGTAAGGTCAGTGCGACAAAGTACCGTACTACTTTCCCATTTGTTTCAGCATACAAATGAATAAAATGTCAAATGTTAAAATGTATGATTCAGCAGTGTCTTTACTAATAGAGGAGCTGTAATAACAAGCAAAAGTTTAGAAAAGCGCCCGAGGAAGAAAGAACTTGGGAGCAAAGGAGAAATTAATGATATTTTTGAAAAACACAAACAGGAGAGTTGTCCAGTGACAATGTCATAATCCGCTGATCAAATTGCCAATTTGAGATTCCTAAGGATTTAGTTATCTCATATTTCAAACATTCATGACTCTCTTATTATTGGTTTGGCTTATTTCAAACTTTCAACATTCTTATTCTTTTAATTTTCTGCTGCCATACCAATGAACTTATTACAAGGATTGGATTGCCCCTTTGACTCTCGGCAAATGGACATTTATCATTAACACAATTTATGCAAATCCTGTATGAAAAAATTGATACAAGTTGTTTTTCACACCCACCACTTCACAAAGAGGGAAAACTTGCAACATGGACAATTTTAGCCAATCACATAAAATTTATTATTGACATGAATTCATGTACAAGCAAGAACATGTAAAGTACAATGGAATTATAGTGAAATATACTGAATACTAAATTAATACACATGTATTTTTACCAAAAAATATATCTTAATTTGTGTAAGAAGCAAAATTGATGTGCAGATTCAAAGATTTAGCATAGAACATAATTCTAAAAACAAAGCAGCCAAAAATAAAGATTCTAATAAGTCTGCCCCCTGTATCCAAGCAAATTTGAAGTGCTCTATATATGGTACTCTGTATATCCATGAATACAGATATGTTAGAAAGTAATAGCAACACAAATGGCATCCCTGTTGAAAGCCTTCAGAGTAATATCCATATTTCTACTTTAAAACTTCTTCAATCCTTTCAGCCTATGTATTTCTAAAATGCTGGCCTAAATTCGATTCGTGAAAACTTAGGTTTTTTTCTAATGAGTAAGTTAAGAGCACACATATCACTATGGAAAAAATGTAAATAAATAGCAGGAGAAATAAAGTAAAAGGCAAATAAAACGTTTAATTTTTTACCTCTATATAAAAAAATGCATTGTGCCATAACACTGTTGAACTTTTAAATAATTTAAGGTATCATTAACCTTTCAGTAATTATCTAATTTCTATTTCAGATGAAGAGTTTACTTAATACAATCTCTACTAAACATACTTTTAAAACTAAAATTGATGAAATAATTACATTGCTTTAAATCACTGATTCTTTTTTTTTTGTATATAAATTTCCCTTTTTTTTAATAGGAATATAATTTCTTATCAATGATCCAAATAAATGTTGCAAACCCTGATACAGGGTTTTTCAATGCCATTAAAATGTAATTGATTTCAGTGAATTTCTAGCATGAATTGTTGACTTGTTTATAGCGAGACAGTCGAATATCTCCATACATGTATTCCAGGTTAAAGGGGGGGGGGGGGGGGGGGGGCAACTCTGCCCCCCCCCCCAAATAAAAAAAAAAGAGAAAAAGAAAAAGCAACCACAAAACCCACACTGTAATGTACAAATCGGATCATACCTTCTCTTCATGTGAGCCCAAAAGAGAAATGTTGATATTAAGTGCAGCATCAATACGATAAAAGTCGAGTAAATGTTTTCATTGCTACAAATTGCCACCAGCTGCTAAGAAAAAAAAAATTAACTAGATGAAACTTTACCGGACCAACAATTTTATACGATATATCTATAATGTATGAATAATGTACACATAACACTATGAATATTGCCATATAAATGTATTCCTTGTACACTGTGACCGCATTCACCCAAGAACTTTCAAATCAGCTGAAAAAAGCAATTTTTTTAGAGAGAGTCAGAAAAGTATGACTCTCATAATTTTAAAAGCTATCAGTAGACAATATATAATTTCAATCAACCTCAATTCTATTCTTGATTTTGATAAGGCTTAGTATATGGCCCTATTTAGTACATTTTCAAGAAAACAGGCAAAAATGAGCATGTCTTTCATGCAATTGTTTTACCATGATTTGGGAGTTTCAACATGCCCTACCACTTCCCTTAGTGAAAGTATTAGGTGATTTATTCCTTTACAATCTTAGAGCCACCCTGCTCCTATCTTCCTATCCCAATGACCATGCTCCGATACTCTTTGGATAAACTCAGTACACTTACACTTATAATTCAGTCACACCAAACAGACCAACAACAGGCCTTACAGTGCCCCAATCGGCAAAAAAAAAAATTGCAATTTTCCTGCCAACAAGTTGCGGATGGGGGTGGGGCAAAAGGCCTTTGCCTCCCCCACCCCCGCTAAAAAGAAAGAGAGAGAAGGAAGGAAAAGGAAAAAAGGAGAGCTAAAAGGGACCAAAAAAGAGGAAGAAGAAAAAAAAGGGTGAAAAGAATTTTGATGCGGTGTTCGAGTAGAATTCTCGTAGCTTGATGCGACGAAGTGTCTCTATCCAGAAATCTGTTGATAGTATTATAGAATATAGAAGCCTGATATGACCTTCTGCTCGTAACCGACAAGTCACCGCATTAAAATTAAATTGCAAAACACGATGGTGGATGAAACTTTCTAATATTCGAAGATATATGACCTTCAGACCATATTGTTTCATCATTTTTTATTCAATCAATCAACGTCAAAGAATTGATTTATCATCGCACTTCAATTTATTATTTCACCTTTTAATGTACTTTCATTCTTATGCATCACGAATGAACACTGAATTGGATTCTTCAATGTTTGTTTTGATCAATTTCCTCCCCTTTCCTTCTCCCTGTTTAATACTGATAAAATTTTCAATTTCTTAATCAAGGCAAAATATTATTTTCATATTTTCTTTCTGCAAGACAGGGAGAGAGAGAGAGAGAGAATATGTTAAGTGAGTATTATCGAGTACAACTATGAATTGCATCCTTTTCAATATTATTCAATTTGCTGAAAATCTTTATTTTATAATTCCACGGGGGCGATTTTTAATTTTGAAATCGCCCCCCGTGGACAACCTGATAGGGGCGATTATGGAGCTCACGGGGGCGAATCGCCCATCGCCCCCGTGTATTTTGAGCGCTGCCGGCATCCCATTGTAATGTATGTGAATTTCATTGCATACATTCAAATGGGATCTTGTTGATGTTAAACTAGCAAGAGTTTTGTGAAACCCAACCCAGAAGTAAAGCATAGCAGTTAAGTCCTTTACAAGAAGGAGAGGATGGTTTTCTTGATGATGTCGAGGCTCTCATGCAGTTCAGCGTCGGACAGGTTGAGGGGCGGGGCTAGTCTGATGATGTCACCATGAGTGGGCTTGGCCAGGAGACCGTTGTCACGGAGACGCAAGCACACCTGCCATGCATCGTATTCTAGAGGAAAGGTAATGAGGAACATGTCAGCATGAAAAAATATGTAATCAACTTACATGTAATAACAGCAGGAAGATAGGAATATCACAGAGTAAATTAACAAACAATGATCAAATGAGGGCCAATGGCTACAACCATCATAAGTGACCGCACACCACAAAATCTACCAAAGAGTTGCATGATGTAATTTTCAGTTAGCACTCGGAGGTCAGCATGGTAAAATTTTAGTTTCTTGAATGTTAACCCATGTTCAATACACCATATTTTATAACAATCAATGAATCAATAAGAATAATAATTGAATCACAAATATGAATTTTTGATTTGCACTAATGTTGAAGACAGGAATTCATGGACAGCCTGTGTCTCAAGGTCCATTTCACTGTCATCCCAACGGCCTCCAAGCTATAGGACTAATGAGACGTTGCAAGAAAGTTGCGATTGATTGCATGTTGCAAAATTTGCAACTGATGTTTGCAATCGATTGCAACGCCCCACAAGTCTCCTAAATTTCCTAGGATTTTTTAGGATCAAAGTTTTAACAATTGAATTAAGTTAACTAAATCTAGCTTTTATTCTCCCCCCCCCTTTCTCTCTCTCTCTTACTAATGGGGCGTTGCAAGAAAGTTGAGTTGCAATCAATTGCAAATGTGCAATTAATCGCAAGACTTACGCCTGATTTGGGGGATTTGCAATTGATTGCGACTTTCATGCAACGTCCCATAAGATAGATAGATAGACCGACGTCGAAACAATTTCTACGGGATAAGTCATTACTTACGTGGTGTTTCCTTGATAATGACAGCATTGAGAAGACCCTTGCCTCTCACTGATGTCACAATGTTCTTGTCTAGGGTGCTTAGCTCCGATCGTACAATCTTTCCAAGACGCTCCGCATTCTCTGCTAGCTTCTCCTCCTCAAGCACCTAGGAGCAATCAACAACAAATAATAATATCAATAATATTTCTGCTTATATAGCGCTCAATACATCTGCAACATCCAAGTTTCTAAGCGCAGACATCGGATTCTTTCTTGCCTGCACACAATGTATGCACTTTCTCCACTCCCTGGGGAGCTTTCAGCAAGAGCTACTAGGCTCAACTTACTAAGCAATAAGCATAATATATTGGCTTTCGCATCCTACTGGGTACCCATTTAACACCTGGGTGGAAAGTGGCAAATGTAGATCAATATCTTGCCAAAGGACATTAGTCCTGCGGTGGGACTCGAACCGTGGACCTTGTGATCGACAGTTTGGTGACCTTTCCACTCGACCACGACACCTCTACAAAGGGGGTTCAGTGATGTTTAAATTCAATCTTTTGAACCAAAATGCTCTGAATTACAAATCGTGCATGGACAGAAAGTGCAAATGCCATTGGAAATTTGAGTCTATTTCTGTTTCTGTACATAATTCTGTTAATGAAGACAAGAGATTTAATCAGAAATAACATATACAGTTTATAGATTGGCAACATGGAGTTATAATCACTACTTTTGGGTGAAAATTCCCATTTGCCAATTTTGTGTTGATTTTTTTGTGTAATCTTCATTCAAATTGGTTCATTATTTCTTTAAATTATGAAAGAGCAGAAAATACTTGGGAGGTAGTTGGAGAAGGTATATAGGTCAATTAGTCTGATATATTGTTACACATAGTTAAGAATATGATACCATAGCATCCTTAATTTTGTGTGCAGGGCTTCAAACGAACATGGTAATGTACATAGACATCAAAATTTCAACTTAAAACCCCACATCTTTTGAAACTTTACATAGGCCCTTAGTAAACTAACATTAGAATTTCAATACAGACAACCATATTGTGTTTACCACTTTATATTTGAATAGGCCTTTAACGTGGAGCCCTGCTATTAGAGTTAAAGATGAAGTTGAGTTCTGGTCATGGTCATGCAATTGCATTGTGAAAGAAATGGTGTGGAATCAATCAAAATAGGTTGATCATCTAGCATATAAGTAGTTGTGTGTATTGCAAGGTTCTGGAATCATCAAAATGATAAGAAATTTGACCAAGTCTTGGTAAAGTTACAAGCACTGTACACAGAAGGATGTATATGGGACTACACGGACACGTGGCGTAAAAATCCATCCCGATTTTTACGATGTTACATGCCATATTTAGAATATGAAGGCATTTGAAGAGCCATGCTTTTCAGAGAACATGTTTTATCTGATCTTCTTCCACCCATGCATAATAACGCTCATAAATGATTGTTCACCTCTTCCCAGAACTCAACCTTCTCTTTAAGAGGCTTGATTTACCTCGAGTGCAGCCATAGCAATCTTGCAGGCGAGTGGGTTGCCTCCATATGTAGATCCATGCTCTCCTGGTCTGATGGTCAACATTATCTCGTCATCGGCTAGAATAGCTGACACCTGCAACATGTATCAAATTACAGTCAATGATGAAAATTAGCAGCAATGGACGTAATTTGACCTATACCCATTACGTGGGGAAAAGTACATGTACCTTAAAATTCCTTCTATATTTACACTCAGATCAAATCTGAATATTTTGAAGTTATCCACACACTTGGGATACTATCACTATCTTGAATAAATTAGCACAGGTGATATATTTCTCCATGGTACCTTTTTGTGCTAAAATGATTACCATCATTATTACCTATTCAGAAAGTTGGTAGACAAAGTCATTTACAAAGTTCTTTCCATGTAACAGGAACCATGCAACAGAATAAAATACCACATAAATGTCTAGTAATGTCGTATTTTCACGTTAAAAGAAACCATACTTCAGAAACAAGTTCATAGATTTAATTCTGCTTTGAAATGACCTTTTTAACTTTCGCCTCTCTCATGTTACAACAAAGACAGCTCACTAATGTATTGTTAATTACATTCCTCCTTGTTTACACATTTCAATCAAGAAATCACTCACCAAGTCATACTTGTAGATTTCTTATCTCCTGTAATATACAACCTTGCTATTGTTGCACATTTCATTTTTGTAAATTACATAGTGATTAAGTCAATTTCATACCTGTGTGTGTATTTCACACCTTTGGTATTTCCTGTGTAATATACAACCTGTCAATCAAATATTGCTGAAAAGCTATGCAACCTACTTCTTTCATCAAAACTTATCAAATAGACCAGTTCATAGATACAATCTGCTCCTGTGCAGATAAAGGTCACTTATACAAAATTGTAAAATCCACTGAGAGTGAGACTAATACTAGATACATGCTCATGAAAGTTATGTAATCATTACTCAAGCATGCACCTGTGATGCATTCTATTGAACACAGGTGGAAGTAATCCTTTCAAGAGGGCAAACAAAGAATCACATGACTTTAGCTGTGCATAATTCCAAAGGCACAAAGTTGGATTTATCTACCAGTATGTTTAAAAGATATGTGGATATTTGGGGTCATCTGAACCATGTGCTATTAACTACGAACTGGTCTATTGAAAGGCTACACATGTAATTCTTGTTTTCAAAGAATAAGGAAGGCCTGTAAAAAGCACTTTTATACCGGTCAAAACTAATTGTCAATCTTTCAGCTTTCATCAGTTTGCTTTTGAATTCTTTTTTTACATTTTGTCTCGAGTAAGAATTTAGAAGAGGGATTTTCTCTAAATGTGTTATAACACAAGTGTGTCGATAGTACATACTTTTAAATGGTAACTCTCTGTTCTGAACCCTTACTATGTCATTGGACAATTGAGAAGAATTAAAAAAAAAAAAAAAAAAATATCTAGGTAAAGAACTGAAAGGGTTACAATGGTCAGCCCTAAAAAGTCTTCTGGATAATTCTAAGAGGTTTGTTAACTTACAGGATACATGCCTCCTGAGAGAGCCTTGCCTAGGATGACCATATCTGGACGAACATTCTCATGGTCAACACAGAGACGTCTTCCTGTCCTGGCGAGGCCTGTCTGGACTTCATCAGCAATAAAGAGAACCTTTACATGCAAAATATATTATGCAAATTAAGATATAAATGCTATGAAAACATTGGGGTTATGAGAAGGAGAAAGTGAGCCAAAGACCTGTAATTAAGGGTGACTTGTGTTGTCTAATCATTATTAAAAAAAAAAAAATTACAATTAGAGTAGTGCAAGTCAAAAATCTATTTTATACCGCACAGATCCTAATGTATGGTAAGGAGGTTTGTTAAATGTAGATATTTTTGTAACATCCGTTTGTTATTCATTTACACATGTACAGTATAAACAACAAAAATGTTGATTTCGCAAAGAATTTTATTTAATTTTATTCCATAGAGTCGTCACTGAGGGCTAAAAAATATTGTAAGGAATATATCCTAAATTCATGCTTTAAATTAAAACAGTTTATCATTACTTGGGTCTAAGTCGGATATTTGTAGAGTGTTATAGCCTTTTGTCTGTGAACACACTTCCTTTCATATGACATGACATGAAATCGGAGTACCGGTATAGTGGAAGTAGCTTGCTGTTGGCTTTGTCTACAGACACAGCTGCAAGGTATTACGACTACCGGTAAGGGTGCGTTCAAGCAAATTTTTTAAAGCTAGAATCACACACACACATGAATCACAAATCAAAACGCTGTTTCAAAAACATGGTCACTGTGGGAGATCGTTCAAGCATCTTTTTCAGCATTTCATGTTTGCATTTTGAAACACGTTTATTTTTACGACAAAAAAAAATTTGCTAGAACGCAACCGTGTTTTAAACTAAACGTCTTTGACAACCGCTTTTCTAGGGTGAAAAAGTGTCGCTTAAACGCAGTCAAAGAGCATCAAAATGACTGCCTCTGATCATAATTCCAAATCAATCATAGCAAGCCAACTAGGAAACAATGAACTAACAGGCCTACAGTAATTAAATTTTTATTCCTCAAACTACATGTAGTATCACTGGTATTTTCTTCTATTGCAAAAAATTATTTACAAAGTCATATCTGAAATAAACAAACAGAAACATATGTAATAGTATACAAATAATGAATGGTTATGAGTTCAATAGTGCAAATATTTCCATGGGCTTAAAGATTAACATTCTATTCAACGAGGCGTCAGCCGAGTTGAATAGAATTATTGTTAATCTTTCAACGAATGAAAATATTCGCACCATTGAACGAATGAAAAACATTCATTATTTGTTTTATACAACATTGAAGAAGATCTAATAGAACGTTAATCAACAAATTATGCTTTACTCCTTATATTAAAGATAAATTAAAGTTGGAGTCAAGCCTTCTCGATTACATTCAGATTGCCTTCGTGTCAGATACACGCAGGGATACGTGCGCGCACGGCTGAGAGGTACGCAGTCTGCATATAACCAAAAATGCATGACCGTGCAATATAACATCTATTGAATATCATGTGACCAACAATCCTCCAATCAAATGACAAGGATCCACGTAGGTGTTGTATAACATGGGTTATTGACAAACTATCATCATGTCCATGAGCTACCTCAAGCTTTAAATCTCATATTCCTTAGAAATTATGTCAACAATTGTTTGGCAAAAATAAAATGGTAACAATTCATGTTGCACAAGATTAGAAGTGACTTCTAAACATGTCTGTTAACTATTTGGTAGTCCTTTATGCATAATTTTCTCACTTTTTCTGGATTCTAACAAACACTAAGACCCGAATTTACAAAGGAGGTTTAAATCTTCATTTACATAACCCAGTCTAAAATTAGTGCAACATAAGCGCAACACAGTCAGAGGCCCAATAGTAGACGCACGCAAGGCAAGGTACGCTTAATGTGCGCAAATTTTAAACCATGGATTATGTTAATGAGGGTTTAAACCATGGTTTAAATCGAAACCTCCTTTGTGAATTCAGGCCTTAATGTTCAAAGTCACACAATGTTGAACTCTGTAACTATGATGTCAAGGTTTTCTGAATTGGTGACTCACATTGTTCTTACTGCAGATGTCTCTGACGCCCTGGAGATACCCTGCATCAGGTACCCTGACGCCCGCCTCACCCTGGATCGGCTCCACCATGTACGCAACAACAGTCGGATCCTGTGTGGCTTTCTACACAAAGAAATGGGGGGGGGGGGGGGGGAATCAAAATTCTTACATGAATACACTGAATTACAATATTAAAAAAAGGAAATGAAAATAGAAAATGAAAATGCCTATTGATAATAATAAGCAGTGCCAATTTGAGGAGAAAAAGATAATTAATTTAGACCTTTAAAAAACTGGACTGCTTTGGGTTGAACGAAAAAAAATTACTGGAAACTATTGGACTATCACATCGTCATAGATGTAAGAAGTCTGCAGGGCAAAATTACTTTGAACTTTTTTCCATAACATTACATATACGTAATTCTATCTTTAATGCAAATACTATACAAAGCAACAGAGGTGAAGACTATCTAATCTAAACAGCTGTGTCTATACTTCTTGTTATTCAATTGATATCTTATCTTTGGTAGCACCCGACATGTACAATGTATGTCTCTATCATTCAATTTAATGATAAAAAGCGCAGTTTGTCATATCAAGTAGCCAAATAATATTATCATCACTAATATTCCTAATTATGAAATGAAAGTATACTCTTCTTTAAAACTGGACCATGTTACACTGTAGCTTACAGTATACCAGTAATGATTACCTCATTTAGTACTGTAAGAAGTTAAAGTACGTTTTGGCCTCTAAATGCTAAATTATGTCCCCTCCCCCCTATTTCTTGGTAAGTCGGCTAATAAAGGGGGAACAAAATAAAATAAATTTAAGATAAAGATAACATACCTGCCAACATTTAAAAAAATAAGAAATAGGAATTTTTAGCAAAAGAAATCTGTACCCTTAACAGGCGTCCACATGGCCTTACCATGGCCATGTATCCTGCGGCAGTGGAAGTGGAAATACGTGCTAAATCTGTACAAAAGAGCAAATAAAAAGTTGCTGCTCGACCGTGCAGCCATTCAATGCACGTTATACGCAAACTCTCAAATTGCGGCACATGATAAAACAAGCTAAATTTGGCTTTAAAAAAATATTAAAAATTCAGAAAATGAGAATATTTTGGATAATTTGGAAGGGTTGGCAGGTATGAGATAATAATATAGGCAAATATGAGGTAAAGATAATAATGAAGATAATAATGACAAACTTACATCTAAGGCTCCAAGATCATTATATGGAATGATGTCAAACCCAGGCATGTAAGGTCCGAAACCCTCGTAACAGTCTGGGTCTGTCGAGCTCGATACGGCAGCCAGGGTTCGACCCCAGAAGTTGCCCTCGGCGAAGAGGATACGGGCTGTGTTCTTGGGCACGCCCTTCACCTTGTAGCCCCATTTGCGGGCCAGCTTGCAGGCTGTTTCGCCTCCCTCCACACCTGGAAGCAATCAGGATATTATAAGTCAGACATTTATAGTAAACAAAGTACCGTAGTGGGGATGATTGTAGATTTTCCATTTCAACAAATGTACCAAGTTTTGTGACAGGACATTTTGCCCTGCGACATTTGTTTCAAGCTTTTTGTCGTCAAAGTAGGGTTAAGGATTTAGGTTTGGTATTATAGGGCTAGGCTAAAAGTTAGGTATAGTGGTTAGTCTAGAGTTGATGAAGTGAGGAATTCAGTTACTGTAGGAAATCGACAATGAGCAATTGCCCGGAGTAATGTGTTGTAGAATCACAGTGGTTCGATGAGAAGTTTTACATTGAAAAGAAGGGGAATCTACTAAAGTGAAGGGACAAAAAGAGTGTCATGCACGATAGAGTGTGATATTCTATTCCCTTTCTTTACTCGTTAACTGGGGAAGGGTAGAAATAAGAAATAAATTTGTTCTTCAGAATAACTGCTGAAAGTATACATTGTATAAGATTTATTCATGAAAAGTCAAAGAAAACAAAGTAGGACTACAAATTGTTCAACAATTCTAATTCAAACCTCTAATGGAGCTCTCACACTCTGCCATGTAGGCCTACCGTCCACCTGCCGGGCTATTAAAAAAACAACAGAGTCCAGAACGTTGGGTTTTGAGCGAACTTGTCCCTGGCCGCAAAAAAAAATTCATAAAATTAATCTTTTCACCGTTTCGTTGCCATCTTCTGACTGTTCTCACCGGGCGCATCCCGGGTGTTGAACGTGCTTCTACCGTCTTCACCGCCCAGATTGACTTTTGTTGAAAATTTTGGCTGTTTCCATACCGGGCCCATACCGGGTCTCGAACGTGTGCACCGGGTTTGTAGCAGCCACCTACCAGTCACTTAGCGTCCCCTCACCGCTCAGAGTGTCCTGTGAGCGAGTCCCCGGACTGCTGACGTCATGACACGACTGCCATAAATACCCCGATTTGAACGGCAACGGTCAGTCCGCTCTCCATTTTTCATCACCGTTCTGTAACGGGTTATTAGCGTGTTGTGAACGTGTTCATACAGTGTGACCGTTTTCATAACGTATTCATACCGTCCTCATACCGTTGAACACCGTCCTCTTGCCGCTTACTTGCGGCAGGTGCCAGCAGGGTCCCACCGGGTGAAAATAAGCGCCAACGCCCTATTAACGTGTTGCCCGCTTTGATAACGAACCACCGTGTGCCCTCGCCGTTCTCCACCGTCCGCAGACATTTTCGCGCACGGTGGCACACGGTAGGCCTACACGGCAGAGTGTGAGAGTCACTTTAGCTTAAATATGAGCTAAATGTGCTGAAACAATCATCCCCTGTTTTGAAAAAGAAAAAGAAACCTCTTTGAACGCTGTACGGCATATCCTATTACCTGTGTTCATGGGAAGCACTTTATCATATCCAAACATTTGGTGATGTATTCCTCATACTCTCCCAGGACATCGTTGTAGAAGGCCCTGGATGTCAGGGACAGGACTTGGGACTGTTCCTGCATGGCCTTGACAATCTTGGGGTGGTTGTGACCCTGGTTCACCGCACTGTAGGCACTCAGGAAGTCCAGGTACCGCTTCCCTTCAACGTCCCACACATTGGCACCTGTAAACAAAAATCAGAGTGTTGTCAGTGATATTTCTTCTACATTGTCAAAGCATTTTAATATCCTGGTTGAGAAAAACAAACAAGTAAAGGCAATGTAGCATAAGCTTGTAAATCACTTAACATAACGCACTTTGGCATCCTACTGTGGAATGTATAATTACTTTGAAGTTTGAAGTTTTATTTATTCCACATTTTACATAGAAAAACAGTTTATTTTTTTTTTTTTTTTTGTGTAAATTATTATAAAAGTAGATTTCACACAAGAAGAAAAAATAAGAACAATTAAAGATTTCAAATCAAATATAAGGTTTGGAAAATAAGTATGAAATTTAGAAATATGTAGATATAACGGGCAAGGTAGAACAATGTAAAATGTGGGGAGCCTAAATAAAAAGCATAGCTTGTATGTGAATAGGCTCCCATACTGAGTAACACAATACAGTAGGTCTGAATTTTTTCATAGGAGGTGAAAAACGGAGTAGTATAGTATGATATTCTAGAGACGTAAAAGGAGAGTGACTTTGAGAAGAAAAGAAAAATAGAAATAAAGAGTAAAGAGAATAACATAATATTGATAAGTAGGAGAAGGTGAAGAAGGGAAGAAAGAGGAAGAAAGAGGAAGAAGAGGAAGATGAAAAAGAAGCGGAAGAAGAAGAGAAAGCAAACTGATGAAATTAATGGTTTTGTTAAATAACAAAAACAAAGTCTGTATAACCACCTGTAGAACCACCTGTATGATCCAGCGCGACATCAACATTACTTTTATACATACTTACTCAAAAGGAAACACCTGAGCTTTTGTTTAAATGAATTAATGGGGGGGCTTCAACGAGTTCGTTATTCAGGCTGTTCCAGAGTTTGGGACCAGTAAAAATAATTGTTTTGTTAGCAAAAACCGTGCAAGTTCGAGGGAGAAGAAAATGGTTTGTCTGTCTAGTAGGGTAAGAAGAATGTATACCGGTAGTACTATTGCATTGAAAAAAGTATAGTACAAGCATGACATGAGGAGGTACAAAAGGTTTCAATTTATTCATTACACTGGAGTTCCGTGACAACAGCTTACATAAACAATTGATGTGAACTTTCCACGTTAGTTTACTGTCTATTTAGACACCTAAGAATTTGGTGGATTCAACCTGGTTGATAGTTATGTTATTTATTTTGATATGACCTGGTAAGGATGATACAGAATTACAACAGCTTACATAAACAATTGATGTGAACTTTCCATGTTAGTTTACTGTCTATTTAGACACCTAAGAATTTGGTGGATTCAACCTGGTTGATAGTTATGTTATTTATTTTGATATGACCTGGTAAGGATGATACAGAATTACAACAGCTTACATAAACAATTGATGTGAACTTTCCACGTTAGTTTACTGTCTATATAGACACCTAAGAATTTGATGGATTCAACCTGGTTGATAGTTATGTTATTTATTTTGATATGACCTGGAAAGGATGATACAGAATTACTGAATAGCATGAAGTATGTTTTAAAAAGGAAAAAAACACAATCTCACTAAAAAACTATGATGTATCTTGCAAGCTCTCCTCCCACCTGCTCTGTACTAAAAAAAAAAAAAGAAGAAAAAGAAAATGAAAATTTATGAAATTTTATGTAGAGTAAATTGGAAAGGAGCCAATTTGTGTTTGATAGATCGCAACTTTAAAAAAAGTCATATAATTCTCTTATTTTTCATCAGAACTTGCTCCAACTTTCACTGACCTCTTCCTCTCATTTTATGCTTCTATTCAAACTAACTTAATATCAGGGTGGACTTCCCCTTTAAGTTATATGAAACTGGGTTTCAAGAGTTCAAGACTCACCCTTAGCCTTCGCCAGTGCCACCGGGAGGGGATGGTAGTTGTGGGCGCCATAGCGGGACTCCCTCTCGAAGACCTGATCCGATGTCAGGTAGCCTACAGCTGCTGATGGGTTGGAAGCGCTGGACTTGGATCGAACTAGCTGCTGTGAAGCTGTCCTCTGTAGAAAGCGGCCACAATACCTAGACATCATGATTGGTTGGTTCTGAATTTATTAGGGATTCTATAAGAGAGAGAGAGAGAACAAACAGATAATGATATTTTATATGGACCTATTTTACAACATTTTCTTTTTTTCTCCATTTCCCTCATAACATTCTTAGAATATAACTTAGTTTTCAAAACCACACTCCCTTAACGCCACAATTAAAGGTATTACAAAGTTTTGGTATGGGGTCATGAATTTGGTTTAAATGAACATATTGGGAGCATATGCGATCATACAATATTCAGTGATCATTGTCGCGGTTGAAATTGACTCTAAAGTTATGAAATAGTAAATAATAAATTCTTTATGTTGTATAGCTCCCTCTTAAAGTCAAAATATTAATGAAGCTATGAAACAATGTTTCTTGACTAAAATCTACCGATTAACTATTCCCGTTTGGAAATTATATATCACAACTACATATTCTGAAATTGTCATGGTCGCAGCTACCATTGTACGACCGTAGGTGCTATTTTAAATTTATCAAAATTTACCGGGAGCACCGGTAAATTTTTATATTCCATTTTTCGCGAAAGCAGAAGTGTTTTAGGGGCTAAAATTTTTAGCGCTTGTAATACATCCACAGGGGCATCCAAATATATCAAAATTGTAAAGATTCACTATCCACCCAATCTTCAAAATTTCCCAAAACTTTGTATTACCTTTAAGAAATGCGCATTTTTACATTTTTCTAGTAAGCCGCCAATCGCATCTAGGCCTGAGTCATGTCGGGACTTTTATAAACCGAGTCCTGATGACTTTGCACCGATCGGGACCCGGTGTCCCGAAATCATGTGCCTCTATAAATAGCGCACATCATCAGTACGTCCCTTAAAAGTGACCTTTTTTATCAATCATATAACTCAACACATGCGTACCTCGGCTCAGATTGGTATATTCTCCCATTTGACATTACTTTTTATCCATGATAGGCGATGTTTAGTGCCATTATCATGCCCAGCGCTCAAAATACACGGGGGCGGTGGGCGATTCGCCCCCGTGAGCTACATAATCGCCCCTGTCAGGTTGCTCACGGGGGCGATTGCAAAATTAAAAATCGCCCCGTGGACTTATAAAATAAAGATTATCTTTTCTGTTATAACTTTAACACAATATTGAGTTTCAATTTTCAAACCTTAAACCAATGAAATGGAACTTAGATTAGCGTGCAAGATTTCTTGTTTTATGAGTAGGCCTATTATTCAGGGGTGATAGTAAGCACTAAAAAAAAATATAAGTTTTTTGTTTTCCCCTCAACCACGCCCCCTTTGAGTAAAAAAAAAAAAGAGGATTCGCGGGGAAAAAATGGCATCTAACAACATTCCCCCCTTTCGAGTAAGAAAATTGGGAAAATTGGGGAAAAAACAGGGCAAAATAAGGAAGAATAGAGAAAAGAAGAGGGAATTCAGGATAAAATAGGGAAGAAAAAAAAAATGGGATTTTTTTTTTTTTTTTTTTTTTAAATCGGGAAGAAAAAAAAAATCGGGAAAAAATCCGGAAAAAAAAAAAAAAATCGGGAAACCGATTTAAATCGGGTTTTTATCAGGCCTGATTATTACCGATTCAGCTCGCAGTGCAGTGCCACCGTCAGCAGTGGTTATAGGCCTACTGCGCCGTTAGTAACAGTACGTGTGTACACTGCCGCGCCATGTCTGCTGGAGCTGGAGGCGATATTGCAAGGGCAGAAACATGGTCATGGAGAAGTTTTTCATTGTGAAAGCGTTAATCCGCTGAAATCTGGTGATTTTAAATGACCAGCAAATAATGAACCTCGACCAGCAACTCTCCATGCCTTTTGTACATCAAATTTCATGTTTTTCCTTCTTTCTTGTGATTGAGATAATAGAATGCAAAATGATATTCTACTTCAGATGTTATGAAATCCGATCAAGAACACAAATAAATAGGAAAAAAACGAAAGACTTGTGAAATTTGATGTACAATAGGCATGGAGAGTTGTCCACTTATGATGTCATCAAATTGAATATCGCCCTCTATTGACTAGTCATTTAAAAAAGCTTTAACTTCCTTATTCCTTGCCCGATTTTGTTCAATTTTTCACTGATTTAATTCAAATATCTTAAACTTTACAATAAAAGTAACTTAGTATGAAGGTTTAGGTTCCCTTTAATGAAGAACATCATATCTAGATTAGGTGTATATTTGGTATCTTTTTCCTGTATTTTTTTCCAGCATTACATAATTACAGACATAGACAAACACACGAACAAACACACACACACACACACACAGTACACACAAGAGCAACCATACTCACCACCATTGTTATTATGTTAAAAATTGGACAATCCCCATGAACAAGTGAGTGGAAAAACATATTTCCCGGTATTTCCCGGTAAAAAGTGGTAAATACCGGTAAAAAGCGGTAAATACCGGGAAATACCGGGAAATACCGCTTATTTCCCGGCGTCCGGGAAATATGCCAACCCTGGTCAAAAAACATTGATGTTAGAAAAATAAAACAGCTTTTAAAAAAATTCTTCTTTACAACATACCGATCAAATATTTTCCTCATTATTTTAAACACTGCATGCTTCTTTTAAAAGCTGAAAATGACTTGGTAATCACAACAACTTTCGATACTGAGAGCTGTTCCAAGGCAAGTTCAGACTAGTCACGGAAAGGATGCGCAGTGCACTTCGTTAGCTGTAATGCATGCCGAAACGAACCCAAACAAATATAAGTGATCGTAACAAGAAATTTTTCAAAACTACGAGAGCACAAGTTAACAGACAACTACTGCTCAAAATTACCATAATCAGATACATACATGTAACTTGGACAACAAAGCAAACTCTTGGAAGATGCACATTAATTGTATGTCACTCAGTTGAATTCAGTTCATTATTGTCAGGAACATGTGGAAAGTAAACAAAGCTCTAATCAATCTAGATAGTAACAAATTTTCACATTCTTTGTTGGAAGAATCTTAGCCGATTTTGAAGTCTGTTGCGCGAGTAAAAAGAGTCCTCCTTACGCAGACTCCAAAGCTAGTTTGCAAGGTACATCAATACAGGGGGGTGTTTCACAAAGCCTTTTTTCAATGACAAGTTACACAAATCAGTGACGAATCTGCTGATAAGCAATCAGAAGCAAGGATTTCAGTATATGTCAGTTGTCACTGATGAAAAGTTTTGTGAAACACCCCCCAGGAATGAGTAGTTAGTCCACATTTGAGGTTTGTTTTAGCGGCTCTCCCGCACAGGCAAATGCTTTCTACATGTGTGCAATTTAGTCTGAAGAGCTTGGTGATAATATGAAATGTGACATTGATATCACCAAGCCTTAATTGGAACCATTTGCCCATGTGAAGAATTATTTATGTACGCGAAACCTAAAATGCGTATGTAATCACCCATTCCCCCAAGTGTTTTTGTAACATAAATCGCATATGTTTGCTCATTATCATCAGGAACAGTTTCATATTTAATATATCATTAACTAGCCCTCCTTAATCTTCAGGGAAAAAATTAATATTTATTTTTCCGGGGCTACTTGCACATACATGTACATGTAACATGCCATGCAAAGTCAGGGGCACGATACGAGACAGACAAGGGCATGTAGACTAATGGTAGATCTAGATTCTTGATCATCTATCTAGGCCTAGAGCGCCCAGTATTCGGTCACTCAAGGGGAAATCGCTAATATTTTGAATTCTCACCTCTTTTATTTGGCAATCTACTCATCAAAAGAAAAGAAATTTATTCCTCTAACAGAATTTTATAGTCACTTAAAATATAAAATGATAAGCAAAATAATTCCTAAAGAAGACGGAGCATTTTTCTGCCCAGAATTTGGTAGCGCTGAATAGAATTCGGTCACGCAATTTGTGCGTGGTATCTCCGTTGCCAAGGAGCGAAGCGTATTTGCGCACTATTTTCACACAATTGCGCGATAAAGCACTGAATGTCAATGCGTTGAACGAATACTGAACAAGCGATACCGCATGGCAAGGGTATCGTATAAATACCTCTTGCACATCGGCAAGTGCGTCATTGCAAATTCGCTGTGATGGAGCGAACACAGAAGTGCTGCTCTTCACACACATACTAAATTCATTGCCACAGCACACGTACATGTACATGTGTAGTTTTTTCGCAATAGACTTCTACATGTATATGGCTATGCAAGTTAGCGCATGTGCTAACAGAATGCGGAAGGGCAGAAAGTTGTGCGACACTGACCAATTTCAAGCTAAGTTGGAGAACTTCCCAGGGCCCTAAATCTGATTTAATTTTGAGAGTTAAGAAAAGTTGTTCAGCTGCCTGATTTGTGCAAGTTTTGTGGCTCATAAATTATTTTTTAAATTGTTACAGCTCTTGAAAGGACTGTCTGACCGAATACTGGGAATGGACCGAATACTGGGTGCGCTACCCACTCCAGCAAAGCATAGAGAGTCAATGCTAATGCAGCACTGTAGCACTGCATGCTTGCTGTGAGGAAGGTATTATTAGACCTAGACCTAGAATCTACATGTATGCACAAATATACACACCACAGTCATGTCGATGCAGCTGTACATTGCAAGCTTCATACAGATTATTCTATTGTATCACATATTCCCTCTCTCTTTAAAAATACACTTTCCTACATTCTAAAACAAACTTTATAAAGATTAAGTCAAAATAATGTAAGCAAAGTTCGACACTAGACTTACAATTTGAATTGTAAAATTATTCTTTTTAACATCTGTAAGTTAAAAAAAATGTATTTTACTGCTTTTTAGGTGTCACCAATTGTCACTAAAGTACCGATTTTGAGTGAAATCAGTTGAGTTTTGTACAGTGGTGTTTGAAATGTTGAGAATCAAAAGCACAGCTTTTACTACACGCCCAGGATAGTGATGCTCCTACATGTATGTCAAATAGGGCGCTGGTCCTAGAATGAAGATCGTCCTCATAAACAAGGATATCCTCATAAACGCAGACAAAATGTGTCCTGAAAAATAAGGGTTGTCTGCTTTATCGAGGACGTTTTTTTTCAACGGCGCTCTGGGGGTTTCATGTTACCGAACGGCCTGCTGGCGATGCCAAAAATGAATTCCCCGGGGGAAAATAACCCTAGTTCACCGTCTACTTTTATGGGTTGTCCGTCTTCCCAAGGATTTATTGCTCATAATGTGAAGGTCTATGTACAAAGTCAATGTAAAATGCATCAAGAAAATTATTGCAGAATCTGTTTTTTGTATCGCCAATGCTAGCCTTAAGGGCTCTCTCGAAATGTTTTTTATGATATTATTCGAGAGAGCCTTAATTTGCTCCCATAGGGTCCTGTGGAGAGGTAGGTAAACAACATCTCAAATGTGTCCAAAATCCCACTTTCCCGCACCCGCCCAATATTGGACAGTGGCTTCGATGAATTTTATGTCAGGTGTAATCGTCATTACATCCTGAATTTACAAATCGGAGGTAAAAATAAGGAAATAATAGCAATTTTCTTACCAGACCGATACAGCTCAGCTCCCTTTTCACTTGTACCATGTGAATTCACGATCTCTACACAATGGTGATGACCTCTGACTGGCACTTCGTAAATGTGCTGCTTCCGTATAATGCGCTGAATAACACTCATACAGCGCATTATACGGAAGCAGCACATTTACGAAGTGCCAGTCAGAGGTCATCACCATTGTGTAGAGATCGTGAATTCACACGGTACACGTGAAAAGGGAGCTGAGCTGTATCGGTCTGGTAAGAAAATTGCTATTATTTCCTTATTTTTACCTCCGATTTGTAAATTCAGGATGTAATTACGATTACACCTAACATAAAATTCATCAAAGCCACTGTCCAATATTGGGCGGGTGCGGGAAAGTGGGATTTTGGACACATTTGAGATGTTGTTTACCTTCCTCTCCACGGGACCCTATGGGAGCAAATTAAGGCTCTCTCGAATAATATCATAAAAAAAAACATTTCGAGAGAGCCCTTAAGGCTAGCCAATGCACCGATCAAAAATATAAAATGTCTGCAAAAATGTAGACGGTCCTTATTTTTGAGGAGGCATCGGTCCGTGTCTATGAAGACGATCCTCGTTTATGAAGACGATCCTTATTCTCGGACCAGCGCCCCTAGATCTACTGTATGTGTGGCGCTAGCCTAGTCTACCCAGAGTACAATGCAATCTCGCCTTTTCAGGCAATTTAAAACAGATTAAGATTCAATAAATCTGGTGACTAATGGCGCATTCATCATGCTCATTTGTAGTTTAAGATTAAGTGATTTCATTTCCAGATCGACCCACCCTAAAGAAAAAATTGGGAATTATCTCGATGACGATGAGCCTCGGCCCTCACCAGCCACTCCCCCGCCGCTCCCCCGCCGCTCCCTCGTCACACCCCAACAACTCCCCCTCCACATCACAACCGTGGCTAGCTTTGGCTTGAACTCAGTTTGATGCCTGGCTTGATGCAACAAACAAGCAGCGGCGTCATCGACGGCATCGGCCATTGCACATCTCATATATTATCTACTTTTCCTATTTCAGGCAACTCAACTGCAAGAAATTCAATGGCCAAGTTAATATTTAAAAGTAATAAACGAGTTTCTCTTTCAACTTACCAAAGGCAAAGGCAGCGCGACATGTGTCTGAGAAGTAAAAATGATGAAGATGTCGTCACCGTACAAGCACTATAATTTCATCTGTGGAGATGGCGCCCTTTAATTTCCTGTGAATGATCGAATCTTATTGTTTGTTGTTTTGAAACGTGCAGTCTGAGTCTGAACAGAACAATGTAATATGATCGAGAATTCTAAAAGTAAAATGGCTCTTATAGACTGTTGATTATCATTCAGTAAAAAATGCAGTGTAAAATGCAGCATCAGCTGTAAGTGGGAGTGGTACAACCAGTGGCGGACCCCTTTTTTCCCAATAGGGGGGGGGGGGGGGGGGGTGGGGGGGGGGGTGGGGGGGGGGGGGCTGAAATTTGAAAATTGCGCCGACCGTTTTTTTCCGCTCAGTCAGGAGGGGGGGGGGGGGGGGTTGAGGAAGGTAAATTTGTGGGTACCATCTAGGGGGGGGGGGGGGAAGATAAATTTGTGTAGACCCTATACCATCTTTTTTTGTTAAAGTTTTTTTTGCCAGGGGTGGGGTCTCGTCTTTTAAAAACTTTTCGCACCACCCCCCCCCCCCCCCCCCCCACCGTGGATCCGCGCCTGGGTACAACCGGTCTCGCCCCTTCTTTACAACCATATCGCCATTAAGTTGACCCTCCCATACTTATTGACCAAATAGCCTATAGGAATTTAAAACAAAACAACAACAACAATCCCCGATACAGCCTGAATGGTCCTATTTACACAATTCGCATACCTCTGTTATTCTCCTCCATAAACATGTTTTCATCTTGTCTTTTTTTTATTTGATTTTTTTTCTGCATTCATGTAAGTTTACATTTTTTCGATACAATAATATAAAGTACAATAAGTATTTTTCTGACAATAAATCATAAATTAGCAAATAAATATATAAATAAACTGTTATTTTCAAAAACGAAATGATAAACTGTCACAAATACTAAATTTCCTCAAACATTAAAACACATTATACAATTATTTGCGGAAGAAGGACTGCTGTGGTAAGCATAATTGCTTGATGATACGACAGCCCCAGACAAAACTCATGAAATATATCAACACATTTATTAAGCAGAAACAGATAGGTAATTGAAAATACAAAATTCGATGGTGGTGATGCAGATGCAGATGATGATGATGATGATGAAGATGATGATGATAATGATGATAATGATGATGATGATGACGATGGTGATAATGATTCGAATGAAAGAAGCAGGGGCGTAAATCCCGGGGGGTGGGGGGGGGGGGGGCTGCATCCCCCTGGCTTGAAGTAGGGGGGGGGATGGCCTGTACAAACATCCCCCTGATATTACCCCCCCCCTGAAAAAAAATGCTTATTGAGCGGTCGGCTCAGTCGTTGCGATTTTTGGAGACCCCCCCCCCCCAAAAAAAGTGTCCTCTTACCCCCCCCCCCGCTTATTCAGCGGTCGGCTGAGTCGTTGCGAAATTTTCGGCCCGATTTATAAATTTAAACCCCCCCCCCCCTTGAAAAAATCCTGCGTACGCGCCTGGCGTGTAGTATGTGATGGCTATCGCCGATCACCCCCCCCCCCCCCACTCCTCGGTACGGATGTACGCCCCTGGAAAGAAGATATGACATGATAAAGAATGAAGAGTTGACACAGAAATTCTACCTTGAGTATTCTGATAATAACATCGTTTTAACTTTGGCCTTAAATGAGTAAAGGGAGCAACATGATTTAATAGATTCTGGGAGAGAGCTCCATAGGTCAGGACCATGATGTATTATGGATCTATGGGCAATAAGTAATTTTGGGTTTACTAGATACAAATTTGAGGACTCCATCGAGTCTATCATTCGCATTCTATCATTGCTTTCAGTGTCCCTCTTCATGATAACTTGTTACATTTTTAGTTAGTAATTTATTCCTTGATTGTCCCATACTCATCAAATAATTCTCATCCTCAAATAGCAGTCTCACAATAAATGGTTATCAACCAAATTATTTCTAAATTATTTCCCGACAGTTTTTCGTGCACCAACAATTCGCCTCAAATTGTCCTCATTATCCCACCTATCACACCGTCTTATTCCAACATCTATCTTTCTCTCTCTCCCTCCCTCCGTTCCTTCCTCCGCCCCCTCTCTTTCTCTCTCTCTTTCTCTCTCTCCATCTCTCACGCACACACACACATTGTTTGCGATATTTTGTTTCTCTCTCTCCCCCTCCCCCCCCCCTCTCTCTCTCTCTCTCTCCATTCTCTTCCAACCGTAGACACATCTTCCATAACAAATCCCGTTCTTTTCCCTCTCCGTCGAGGAAAACTCTTGTCCAACATTGAGTTAAAAGCAACAACAAAATCAAAGGAATAGCTTAAGAGGTTTGTGGGAATCTGACGACTAATGAGAACACTTTATTTTATAGCTCGTGATCTGATGGAGATGGATAGTTGTCGAGAGAGAGAGAGAGAGAGGAAGAGAGAGAGAGAGAGAGAGAGAGAGAGAGAGAGAGCATTAGAGATCCTTGTTTATTTTAAAGATTTTAATCGAAGCAACATATTTCCTGGCAATAATACAAATTAGTCGTATGCACTTTCTTTCTCTTTCCTATATACATGTATCATAAATAAATATGAAGACACTCAAATTTGATCAGTAAGGTGTTAGGAAATGGGATCAATATTAATGATAAACAACACTTTACTCATTTGAATACAATAAGTCTATATGGGTTCATGTAACCATGCAGTTGCGCGGAAGAATGGATCCTGACTAGAAAGAGAATCGAAGAGGGGGGGGGGGGGGGGGGGGGGGTTACATTCATTTTCTACAAATTGACTATAATTATATACTATATCCTTGATTGATAAATATTGTTCATCAACAGAATATCGTAGTGACGCTACACGAGTGTACTATGCAAGAATCCGAATCTGCATTTGAACACACACACATTTACATATATACATATTTCTATATGTCTTTATATTGATATACTATCAAATTGGTTGAGCCCCTAATCCCCCTCTAGAACCACTAATACAACCCGCTTTACGCTCTTTTTTTCCTACGGTTCTTTTCTTTCCTCTATTCGTAGGGGCAGGGGGAAAGTCAGAGCTCCGTAAATAATTGTATGGGCATACAGGCAATACTTTGATCAACATAATTATACTTAGTACGTTAATACATATACAACCAATATAACCATTAGTGGTTTCCAGAAAAGCGGTAGTAGTGGTAGATCCATAATTGTCGTATTCAATAATTGGATGTGATAATCGTGTATTTGGGAAATGTTGAAGCTGTTGATTTCGTTAAAACGTTTATTACAAAATACAAATGTGTATAATCTAAATGCTATAAAAATGAATACAATACTTATAAAACATACATATCAAGTTCACTCCTTTTTTGTCATTCTCATCGGCTTAATACAGGTTCCACGTCGGGAATGGATTATAATGCACAATCTGTGATATCAAAAATATTAAGGTTACTCTAGACCAGTTCGTACTTAGCACATGTTCAAAATAATTACCCCGAATATCCTCAAATATTTTAAACACGGAGAAGTCCCACTTTAGTTGTGCATTTTAGAATAATCACTGCCAAAGTGACAAAGGTGCTTCTGAATACATTTTGTTTGCCCTCTTGAAAAGAATACGTGCTGTCGGTACATCGATGATAACATAACTTTCATGACTACGAATCCAGTAGCTTTATTTGCAGGTGCGCAGATTCTTTCTACAAACTAGTTCATTAAATTATAAGAAAACAGAGATCGGTAAAATGTGAAAACAATTCATCGATACAACAATCTCACTCATATATTGTAAATTAGACTTCAGTGCTTATTTGGTTACTTTTTCGATGAGGGTATAGAGGAAAGGATTGATAGAGGAATTGATGGGCAGAACAAAGACCACCAACCAAGCGTAGATATTGGATGAGAGAGTGATGACACCAGCTTGGGTGAAGATCCCCATGATAATGATAGGCATCCAGCAAAAGAAGTCGGTCCCAACGATGAAAAACAGCTTGCGCGCCATCTTGATCTCAGTGGCCGACTTCTTTCCTGCCGCCTTCCTGCTCGAGCGAACGCTGAAGAAAATGGCGACGTAGCAGCAGATGATGACCAGGAAACTGACGAGGTTCACTCCCAGGTAGATGGCAATGGAAAACTGCCAGGTGGGGGACGTTCCAGAGGCAAGAAAGTTGAAGGTGGTGAGGCCGTAGCGAGTCAAAGTGTAGCTGTCCACCTCCGAGTATACGGAGGAGAACTTGCGGATGAGCGGAAGTCCCACGCAGACATCACTCAAGCCGTGTGCGTCAGATTCCAGCTGGTTCAGGAGGAGATAGACAACACTGAGGATCAATGCCAGAAGCCACGCAATCGCCGCAAATACACGGGAGGACTTGACACCCAGACGATTCTGACTAAACGGGAACTGGATGACGATGAAGCGATCAACGCTGATCAAGGTCAACAAGAAAACCGATGCCTCGGTGCTGAGGAATGAGACAACCCAGCGATTTGACAAGCATTGCTGGTTCGCCACTCGTTCCCGATGCCATCCCAGAAGTACGCTTCACCAATGTACAGATCCATGACAGCAATGATCAACATGTATATACCCATCAAGAAATCCGACACGGCAAGGTTGCTGATCAAGGTGGATTGAACAGAAGCAGTGGCTGTTTTCGGTTTATCCCGCAATCTTGTGAAGATGACAAACCCATTACCAAGCAAGGCACTGATGCTAAGGATCCAGATGAACACTTTGATGGTCATATTTTGGAGGAATGTCCTTCGACATGTGAAGAGCGGATGTGGCAGTTCTCGTGTTGTACACCCGAAGCTTTCTGGAATGATGCAACAGACTCGTTCGTCTCGAACAACTCTGTAAAAGACAGACGAGACGACTAATACAAACTGAAGCATTAATTTTCATTGAAATAGTTGCAAAATATGACCAATAGTCTCACGGCACAATTTACGAAATGTGCTGTTACAGCAGACTCTAATAAGTGAGTTATAAAGTGACGCTTCGAAAATGTTAGTCACTGTAAATTAAAAATTAGTATGGTCTTATATTTGGCTTTCTGATCATTATTGCGTTTTACTCTGATGTGTGCAAGACGACAAAAGGCTTATCCCTCCATTCTACTACAAGTTATTGAAAATCATATTTACTATTATTCTTCCATATTTATGTAAATGCCCGCTAATTTGTAAACAACATGATAACAGAATGCAACTTTGCTTGATCATGCTATCATAAGGATGGACAATGTCTTGTACACCCGTCGGACACGAGGCGTCATTTCTCTTGTGATATAACCTTCACCAATCAGAGCAGTGAAGGCAGTAATTGCAATGAATGCACCTTTCACCCTGTCCTAACTGTTTGCTTGTGAAGAGGTGTCGTGGTCTAGTGGATAAGTCACCGTCCTGTGGATTGCATGGTTCGCGGCTCGAATCCCTCCGCGGTACTTAATAATTGTCCTTTGGCAAGAGATTAATCTATATTTGCCACTGTCCGCCCAGTTGTTAAATGGGTACCCGGTAGGATGCGAACGTTACTGTGGTTGGATTGGCATGTGTGCGCTTGTAAAATGGAGCCTGCCCGGAATAGTCCCCAGGGAGCGGAACGAATGCTCTATCATGTTGCGGATTAGCAATTGAATACAATGACCGGGGTAATAACAATTATAAAATAAAGCGCTTAGAAACGTTTTTTGATACTTTTTTTATTATAACTATTATTGCTATTATCATTATTATTATTATCATTATTACCATTATCATTATTAGCATTATTATAGCAGTATTATTATTATCCTTATTATTATTTTTATTATCATATTAAAAAAAAACATTATTGCTATCATTATTATTATTATCATTATTATCATTATTATAATTATTATTATTATTATTATTATTATTATTATTATTATTATTATTATCTGTTAATTACTGGCACATGGATAATTAATTTTCACCCAGTCACTGACATGGTATTAAAGTACAAGTCCACTCCAAAAATAACCCTATACTTTCAATAGAAGCAAACAAATCAGATAAACCAGTCAAAAGAAGTTTGAGCAAAATCGGATAACTGATAAGAAAGTTATGAACTTTTGAAAAAATATATAAAACTATGGAACAAGTGAAATCCCTACACAAATTGCCAATTTGGTTATCAGTTTGTGACGTATTGTCCTCACTTTATATCAATTGCTTTATATAGTTTAATCCCATTAATTTCCCTTTTTAATCCTCCAAAACTTTATTTCCCCATGCCTTTGCCAAGGTTATATGATTTTTTATCATATTGCGTGCATGACATTTCACAAGATCTTTTATGAACTTTGAAGAATTGATACTATTTTCTGAATATTGTGTATATTCATAATTATTGATTTTTTTTATCAAAATTAACATTTTTCATAATTTAACTGAAAAAATTACCCTATATTAGTATGGAGCGCCAAAGGGGCCAATATCAACAGTCACAAAAACAAACAAAGATGCATACAAACAAACAAAGAAGCATACAAACAAACAAAGGACAGAGCAAAATAGACAAAGTACCCAGAAGAAAGGACCAATTAACAAAGAATAAATCAAAGGTCAGAGCAAAATAGACAAAGTACAGGTCAGAAGAAACAGAGGGCGTTTTGTTTACGGTAAGCAAATAGACATCAAGCACGAAAACGAGAAAGGACAAACTCAAAAGGACATCAGCTCAGCTACGAAGTGACCCTCAAAGGACAACAGAGGGCGTTTTGGTTTACGGTAAGCAAATAGACATCAAGCACGAAAACGAGAAAGGACAAACTCAAAAGGACATCAGCTCAGCTACGAAGTGACCCTCAAAGGACAACAGAGGGCGTTTTGGTTTACGGTAAGCAAATAGACATCAAGCACGAAAACGAGAAAGGACAAACTCAAAAGGACATCAGCTCAGCTACGAAGTGACCCTCAAAGGACAACAGAGGGCGTCCTCGAGGTTTTTTCTTTTTAATCTAGGGCCTACTCCAATATAATACGCTGTAGGTCAATACAACAAATATGGGCTTTCATCGAAAGGGTGCGGTGCGGTGCGGCGCGGTGTGGTGTGCTCAACGCACCCATTCGATAAAAGAGGGGGGCCTTTTCTCGAAAGGGTGCGTTGAGAGCGGAGTACCATTTTAACACACCCTTTCGATGAAAGCGGGGGGGGGGGGGGGGGGGGGGCTTTTCTCGAAAGGGTGCGTCGACTAGTCTTTCGCATCAGTCGTTTAAAATGAGGATCTCGGACAGAAGGTAATAGTTGCCAATTTAAGTATATCGAAAATGTATTAAATGAAATGGAATGGTCTTGATTACAGAGTGGTCTCTTTGATGGGGGAGACAGAGAGAAGGAAAAAAGGGAAAGGGAAAATAAAAGGAAAGAAAGAAGAGGAAGAAGAAGAAGAAAAGAGGGAAACGGGGGCGAAAGGCTCTTGCCTCCCCCCCCCGCCAAAAAATAAATAAGAGAGAAAGAGAGAAGGGAAAGGGAAAGGGAAAGAGAATAAAAAAGGAAAGGAAGAAGAATATGAAGAAAAGAGGGGCTCTTGCCTCCTCCTCCTCCCCCGCCAAAAGATAAGTAAGAGAGAGAAGGGAAAGGGAAAGGGAAAGAGAAGATAAAAGGAAAGAAAGAAGAGGAAAAAGAAGGAAACGGAGGCGAAGGGCTCTTGCCTCCTAGCCCTTCTTCCCCTCCTCCCCCCCCCCCGCCAAAAAAATAAATAAGAGAGAGAGAGAAGGGAAAGGGAAAGAGAAGATAAAAGGAAAGAAAGAAGAGGAAGAAGAAGAAAAGAGGGTAACGGGGGCAAAGGGCTCTTGCCTCCTTTCTTTCCTATTCTCCCGCTTTTTCGTTTTTCTCTTTCTTTCTTTTCTTTCTTCTCTTTTCTTTCCTTTCTTTTCTTTTTTTCTTTTCTTTTTCTTTTTTTCTTTTCTTTCCCTTTTACTCTCTTTTTCCCCTCCCCCTTTTCTCTTTTCCCGACGGCAGCGCAATTTTACCGACAATATCCTGACAGGTGGGGGGGGGGGGTGTCGCACCCCCACACCCCCTTTGGAGACGCCCTGCCTTCGCCACTGTTGGCGACCACAAGGCTATCAATACAAATTAAGACATATTAATGAAGATTCTTTTTTAATGTTGCAGAGAGATAAGTATTTTCTCTATGAACTTGTTTAATGGAAAATAAATAATATTAAAAACATGAATACTATAGCGGTATAATGATGAGAGAGATGATTTAAGTCATACTTTTTTCAATGTGATTGGAGTGGACTTGAGGGTGGGGGGGGGGGGGGTCCTCCTAAGATCTCGGCCGTTTCACAGCCGATCGCCGCGAAAATGCATATTTATGGTAATTTATGCAAACAATGTCAGAGAATTCACATTTTTACCCATAAATCATATATAATTCATATTCGAGCGTTCTTTTTCACTTCATATATTCGTTAGAATAATAATACGACAACAAAGTTGGAAGAGCCAGTTTATCCCTATGTTATCTCTTGTTTTGATTATTTGTATTTATGTATTATATTATTTTGTTATTTCATATCATTTCTAACCACAATTCAACTATTTTTACCCAAAATCAAACAAATTTACTTGAAACAAGACCAAATAACCAATGTTTTCTCTTTTTTAAAAGAATAAATGGTATTTCCATATGTTTGGTACATAAATCACAAAAATGAGCGATTTTAGATTTTTTTGACATGCAAAAACAAAAGGTCACGTGACTCCGCAATTATACGTCCGATTTTCAACAAAAAAATGTTTCAAAAGATGCGTAAGACTCGAAAGAAAAAAGTCATGAAAGAAAAACTGCCGCGGTTCCGGAGTAGTCGCGAAATTACTAGAGAGCACTAATCTTTTTTGGGGCCCTCAAAAATTTGAAAAATCGTACCCCCCCCCCCTTGAACGCCAGGGGGGGGGGGGATATCTCCCCAAAACGGTAAAAATTAACGTGTTTTTTTTACACGTTTTTTCACAGGGCGGAGCCCTCAGAAGCTCAGGGGTATTAAACATCAAAATTAACGTCGGATGAGCATAATTTTATACCTTATTTGTGACAGTGGCAGGACACAATTTGGTGTTGGGTCCAGGGGGCGGAGCCCCCAGAAGCTCAGGAGTTTTGTCCATTAAATAATTATTATTTTATACCTTATTTGTGACACAGGGGTCACGAATTGGCGTGGGGTCCAGGGGGTGGAGCACCCAGAAGCTCAGGGGTTTTGGGCAATAAATAACGGTCAGATGAGCATATTTTTATATCTATTTGTGACACTGGAAGGACACAAATTGGTGTTGGATCCAAGGGGCGGAGCCCCAAGAAGGTGAGGGGTTTTATACATCAAATTATCGTCAGATGAGCATATTTATATATCTATTTGTGACACTGGCAGAACACGAATTCTTCTTCCTCTTCCTCTTCTTTCTTTCCTTTTATCTTCTCTTTCCCTCTCCTTCTCCAACATAAGATGAAGACGGATATATATCGACTCACCTTCTTTCCAAGAACCATACGGGCCTGGAATTTACTTCCCCCCACCCCAGCATCTTTGCCTGCGACGCAGTCGAAACCTTCAAAGCCGGACTCTTATGGGAAGCCATCCAAGGGGGTAATATAATCATAGTCCCTCCCCACAACTGCAATGTGATGGGACTTAATTCTAAAATGTTCTAGAAGCAACAAACACTCTCTCTCGAACGATAACGTTCTTATTGGTCATCTTTATATCCCTCTTGAGGATCAGGACCAGGATCAGAACAGATTCTCTCTCTCTCTCTCTTATTTATTTTTGGCGGGGGGGGGGGGGGGGAGGGCAAGAGCCCTTCGCCCCGTTTCCCTCTTTTCTTCTTCTTCTTCCTCTTCTTTCTTTCCTTTTATCTCCTCTTTCCCTTTCCCTTCTCTCTCTCTCTTATTTATTTTGTTGGCAAGAGCCCTTCGCCCCCTTTCCCTCTTTTCTTCTTATGCTTCTTTCTTTCCTTTTATATTCTCTTTCCCTTTCCCTTTCCCTTCTCTCTCTCTCTCTCTCTCTTATATTTTTTCTGGGGGGGGGGGGTGGGGGAGGGCAAGAGCCCTTCGCCCCCGTGTCCCTCTTTTTTCTTTTTCCTCTTCTTTCTTTCCTTTTATCTTCTCTTTCCTTTTCCCTTTCCCTTCTCTCTCTCTCCTATTTATTTGTTGGCGGGGGGGGGGGGGAGAGGCAAAAGCCCTTTGCCCCCGTTTACCTCTTTTCTTCTTCTTCTTCTTCTTTCTTTCCTTTTATCTTCTTTCCCTTTCCCTTCTCTTTCTCTCTCTCTCTGATTTATTTTTTGGCGGGGGGGGGGGGGGGGGGGGCAAGAGTCCTTCGCCCCCCACCTTATTCCCTCTTCTCTTCTTATTCTTCTTTCTTTCCTTTTATCTTCCCTTTCCCTTTTTTTCTTCTCTCTGTCTCCCCCATCAAAGAGACCACTCTGTAATCAAGACCATTCCATTTCATTTAATACATTTTCGATATACTTAAATTGGCAACTATTACCTTCTGTCCGAGATCCTCATTTTAAACGACTGATGCGAAAGACTAGTCGACGCACCCTTTCGAGAAAAGCCCCCCCCCCCCCCGCTTTCATCGAAAGGGTGTGTTAAAATGGTACTCCGCTCTCAACGCACCCTTTCGAGAAAAGGCCTCCCTCTTTTATCGAATGGGTGCGTTGAGCACACCACACCGCGCCGCACCGCACCGCACCCTTTCGATGAAAGCCCATATTTGTTGTATTGACCTACAGCGTATTATATTGGAGTAGGCCCTAGATTAAAAAGAAAAAAAACCTCGAGGACGCCCTCTGTTGTCCTTTGAGGGTCACTTCGTAGCTGAGCTGATGTCCTTTTGAGTTTGTCCTTTCTCGTTTTCGTGCTTGATGTCTATTTGCTTACCGTAAACCAAAACGCCCTCTGTTTCTTCTGACCTGTACTTTGTCTATTTTGCTCTGACCTTTGATTTATTCTTTGTTAATTGGTCCTTTCTTCTGGGTACTTTGTCTATTTTGCTCTGTCCTTTGTTTGTTTGTATGCTTCTTTGTTTGTTTGTATGCATCTTTGTTTGTTTTTGTGACTGTTGATATTGGCCCTTTGGCGCTCCATATCATACTTCATTGAAGTCACGCGGATCGGAACAGGATAACACTGAAAGAATCGAACAAGAACAAGTCGGTGCTAACTTCAAAACATGTAAAATGAACTCGGGATTCTGATAGCTGTAAGTCTGTACTTACAATAACTCAATCTTAGAAGGGCCAACAAATGTATTTGGCTGAAGGCGAATTCTGTCAGAAGAAAGAAGTCGCCTGAAAATAAAGCAAGAAAAGTATGATAAAGAGTTATTTTCGAGGGCTTATATTGTAGGGAAATATTCGTCACAAGTTCGCAGTTTTTTTAAATGATGATTTAATTAACCTTTTAGATACTATTTCGCTTCTTCAAAAGAATTCCCGTCCTTTCAAATAAAACGACAACCTGAATTTAAACGCTGTCATCACGTTACACATAATTAAGTGGAGGCAGCTCACATGCCTTAGATTTGTTTCTATAGCGTTGTTGATATTTTCATGGCTTTCAAATGAAGGCGATGGATACCCCAGTGCACATTTGGTCATCGAGGCTATAGACAACAAAAATGCTTTCCTATTTCAGAATGTAATCTGTGACAGTGTATATAAGCTTACGATATATTTTCCGAATTTCTCATCAATTTTCCAGCATGTGCTCTAACGTAACCTATCGACAACCATTTCGCAGATTTGCCGACATCAATACATGTCACATCATCCTCTCCCGCTAGCAATTCAGTGGCGATTTAATTATTATTATTATTTTTATCAGATGGTGTCCCCCTTTTGCAAATACCCTGGATCCGTCATTTAGAAACTCCCTTGTGTTCATTTAGATGACCCAAAATACTCACACATCCCTCAACGTAGGCAAACCATTCAGAGCACCAGGTTCAATGGTAGTGATCGGATTTCCTTGGAACGACCTGGGGAGAAAAAAAGTACACGTGGTAAAAATCCATTTTTTGTTGTTGATGATCCGACATTTGCCTCGGTGACAATTGCTCCATAATATAGTCCTTCGAAAGTTTAGAGGTAAACAGGTTGCGATTTTTTTTAATTTTTTTTTTTTTTTTTTTGGGGGGGGGGGGGGGAGATGTTAGGTCAAGGGTTGCGTTTAGAGTTAGGGTCCAGTTTGTTCGTTCGTACGTAGAATATCAAGGAGTACATCATCCAGATATAGGAAGATCCTTATTTAGCCAACTGATTGTCCCATCATCGAGCTCTCGAAGTCCAGAAGCACCGTGAGGGGATTTGTACGTGATCCATAGTTGGATCTTTCCACAGGCACAGTTTGGCGATGGATCAGCTCCAATTTTATACATTAAATCCAGTTCAGCGACTGAAGTTAGAAACTTGTTAATTGTAGGAAATTTCATGCGGAGAAATAATATTTTTCAATAGAATAAATTATGTTGTAGAATCTTTTATTAACCACAATGATTTGGAAATGAAATCATGGCGGATCGTTGAACAGTGAAGGATTAAGACAAATGACCGCCAGACTGCTAGAGTGTATTCGCAGACCGTTTTGGTATGAGAGAGCGAGGGTGAGGGAGAGAGAGAGAGAGAGGGAGCAAAGCTCCTAAATATCTGGACCGCCACTCTTTACTTACGCTAAGTCAAGCTTATTGAGCCCGTAGAAAATAGATGCATTAATAGACGTCAAATGATTATGGGTGATAATCCTATATAAAATGAGATAAAAGATGCAAATGAAATCAATTATTTACTGATTTAACCCTTATAAGGCGGGGGGGGGGGGCATTCCCCCCCTCCACGATTTTTCCGATTGCTCGGGAACGCATATGGATGGTGCCCCGCCGCTCGCTGACTTTTTTCTTTCGAGTCTTGCGCATCTTCAAAAAAAAAAATTTGAAAATCGGACCTACAGTTACAAGGTCACGTGACCTTTTGTCTTTGCATGTCAGCCCGAAAATCGCTCATTTTTGTGATTTGTGAACAAAACATACGGAAATGTCATTTTTCCTAAAAATAGATTAAACATTGGTTATAGGGTCTTGTTTAAAGTTAAGGTGGTTGTTTTGGGAGTCAAAATAGTTGAATTGTAGTAAGAAATGAAATAAAAACAACAAAAACAATAAAATACATAAGTTAAAAAAACAATGAAATACATAAGAAATTATCAAAACAATAAGCTGGCTCTTCCAAATTTTTTGGTCATATTTTTATTCAAAATGGTCTTGGTCAAAATGAATATATGTAGTGAAAAAGAATGCTTAAATATGGATAATATATGATCTATGGGTAAAAATGTAGTTTTATGACCTTATTTGCATAAATTACCATAAATATGGAAATAAGTGAGTTAAAAAAAAATGAAATTATCATATTATTCTATACACTTCACTTGACATGCATGCAAATTTTCGCGGAGATCGGTCACTTCACGGCCGAGATCTTAAGGGGGGCCATAATGCCCCCCCCCCCGGCCGTCCTAAGACCTCAAATAGCCCGGCCCTTTTAGGGTAAAGACAAATATCGAAGAAATTTAAAGATTGATTGTCATAATTGCTGGTTGATCAACCAAAAAAGAGGGGGGAAAAGTCATTGATTTCACAAATTAACTACCGTAGAAACAGGCCTTCAGCATAATTAAACGGTATTAGTATCAAGAGGCTCCAACTTTACCTATAGCACTGTCGAACAGAGATTACAGAGACAAAGGCAGAGGTTTCTTTTTTCGAAAATCAATTTAACATTAAGTGGTTGCATTATTCAGTTATATTCCAAGAGCGTCAAGTACTGCGCCTTGATAAATTATGTGCAAACCAACACGACTATATTTAGAATTAGAATCACTGCATGCATGTGGTACAGTGGTACAGTATCTTGACTCCCGCGCAAGACAAGATGGGTTCGTTTATATTCTTAAACAAGGTGTTTCCTCAATATTTATCCCACTCGACCCTTGCTGGTGAAGTTGGAAATTAATGCTGAGGTAATGATAAATGAAAGGCCCTCAGGGATAACAGGAGTAATACCTATGAGGCCATCTTGGATAGACAAGACCTTACTATTCCTTAACAAGCTCACAATTGAGTGGAAATACACTGTTGCCAAAATAGTTGGTAAATCAATTCTTTCCTATTATCATTCATGCTTCGAAGTATACAGTTTCCCAGAACTTTATCCATCAAGAATAAACCATATTGTCACAATCATTTCATAAAAAAAGGTAAGAGCAAATATATGGCAACAGCGTAGTAGTATGTTAACATTAATATAATCATACAATCATGTCAAATAAAATATTAGTGATGAAGCTTACAAACTATCCAATGTCTGCCCCACATCAAAAAATGCACCGGATGGGATAGTTGTCAAATCATTGAATTCAAAATTTCTGAAAAAGAAATAATAATGTAGTCATGGTAATACATTTGAGAACAGTTCATATATACAAATGTAGCACATTAATAGTAATACCCGTTTTTTAAATAAAATTGTGTATATCATATAGACAATTAGGATGATACAGCATCATACATTCCATAAAGCAGAAGAAATATGATTAAAAAAAAAAAAAACATACACACAAACAATCACAGGGAGATTGAAAATAAAGTTACTAATTTGTGGATTGGATACGTATTGATAGCTGGCAACTGCAGGTTATTCGGCAAATCATTGAAGTAATGAATTATGAATCTTATTCGTACCAAATACATGGCGATGAGATTATTTATATTCTGCTAAAATACACTGGATTATGTAATTGTGTTAGTTTTATTAAGTGCATTGAAGGGCGTTCTATTTTGTGTGATGTACACATTACTTTTTTCTTCTTCTAAATCTCGTTCACGGCATAGTGAAGACTGAAGAAAAGCCAGAGGGTGCAATATATTTTACCGTGTATAAATACGATACCAATGAAATGAAGAAGGTACAAAATCCTATAAGCCTACAAGTGCCTGTGTGGACTACGCCTTTCATTGTTGCCAGTTCAAAATATGGTTATCTGTTTATTTTATTTTTTTAAACATGAATAATCTACCTGTCTCTAAAGTATCGACCTACTTACATGAAGTAAAGGCTATCAAGACCTCTAAAGCAGCCTTCGTACAATCGAGTAATCTTGTTGAAATCCAAACTTCTACATGATGGTAAAAATAGACAGTAAAAACATTACCTTTTCATTTATTGTTAAGTAGTTTTTTTCTTCTCGAAGAGAGTTCTGAGACACATCAACATTTATTACCTGTGTCACGATTTCGGTGTTTAAGTCCAGACATCTTTCTCAAACGTATTCTGGCAGACTGAATATAGATGCTAGTTATTTTCGTGCCGATTTGTCGATCGCCACGTCGCGTCAGGGAGCTTCAGTCTGTCAGTGCATGTCTGATAAAGGTGTCATGAATTGGTCATAACAAATGTCACACAGGTAATTAAATTTCGAGGTGTCATGGAACTTTTTTCATTATTATCTTAAAGCCCGTCTGCACTAGTTTTGCCAGGAGGGATTAGACCACCCTGCTGGTGACTGACAGGTGGTTATCTAATCAACTCAGCTCTCAATTAACATAAGAAAAAGAGGATCATCGGGACCAACGGGCATCGCTAATGGGGCTTTCACATATACACTCCGGGGCCCGTACGGCGAGTAAAAACAGACATTTTGGGAATTTTCGGCCGGTGTCCGGCCGGTTGCCGTAAAGTTCCTACAAGCGCCGGGACAGTTTTTTAATCCGTACGGGCGCCATGGTGCTGAGTTGGCTGCTCCCGGCGTTTTTATCTGACCGTTAGGCCGTAGAAAGCCCGTACAGGGCCCGTAGGGAACCTTACGGGTCCAATGCGGGCTCTGGACGTTGCCCGGACTGCCCCTCACGATTTTGGGGGTCAATTCTCATGACAAATCTTTACGGGCGCCTTGCGGTGCTCAAGGGTTCCGTACGTGTACCCTACGGCGCCCTCACGGCCCCTCAAGAGCCCCGGGTGATATGCACAACAACAGGCGTCTGCCGTCCGGGGGCAATTTAAAATGAATATTGCCCGTGCGTGTCCCTCACGGCGGCATCTCGAAATGTACAACGCAGTTTTAAATACAGGAGGTGCGGATACCAGAGGACACATACAGAGTGAATCAGAAAAAATGTCCCACTTTTTAAAAGTTCTATTGTTTGAAGTATGAATATTTAATCATGAGGTTCATGATATGTCTTGATAGAGTTATCCTCCCAGTACATTTAGGTACCATTTTCATTTGAATCTCTGCATGCATGACTGAACATCAGACAATCTTTACAAGACTGCCAGATCTCACTTGCGCCAAGTTGCTAGGTGAGGAATAAAATAATATTTTGAACAAAGACAATCAGTTTTTTTCAATTATCCAATTAGCCAGATAGACAAAAACACACAAACACACGCACACGCACAGGCACAGACACACGCACACAAATGAGCATTCCATTCCCGACAAGGCCCACCCAAACTCTTACTTTGTGTCGGGAATTCTTCTTATCGTACGAAAAGTTGAGTGGCCGCTGTCCTCTTGGTGCGTATTGGTAGATGTTGTGCTTCATGATGATGATGATGATGATGATGATAATGATGATGATGATGATGATGAAGATTAAGATGATGACAATGATGATGATGATGACATGATGGTGGTAGTGAATGTGTACAGAAAGGGAAAGATTTATAGGGTTATGCCACTTAAACATTCAGCGATCTTGATAAAAATCAACGCTCAATCAGAAAAGGGGTAATTATGAAACAATTGTCACCATGTGTGTTGTGTGTGCGTGTGTTTGTATGTTTGTGAGTGTGTGTGCGTGTGCGCGTGTCTGACTGTCTTTGTTCAATGCACTGTTTTATTCCTCACCCAGTAACTTGGCGTAAGTGAGATCTGGCAGTTTTGTAGAGATTGTCTGATATTCAGTGATGCATGGAGAGATTCAAATGAAAATGGTACCTAAATGTACTGGGAGGATAACTCTATCAAGATATATCATGAAACCCATGATTAAATATTCATACTTCAAACAATACAACTTTTAAAAAGTGGGACATTTTTTGTGACTCACTCTGTAGTTCAGTGCACCGCACGGCACCTGGCCGGACGCCTTGAGGACCCCGTCCGGCCCCCGGCAGGGCACCTTCCGGGAGACATCGGTACACCTGCTCATCGGACGGAGCCCGTAAGGTTACCGGATAGCACTCGGCTGGCACCCTGCCGGCACCCTTACGGGCGCCTTGCATTTTACACGACCAATTTTCTCCGGGCACCCCCCGGGCGCCGCAGGGTAGGGAAAATCGTACGGGGCCCGGTTTATATGTGACCTAGGCATAAGGCATTGTTTTCTATATAGAGGAAGCAAGTAGCTACAAGTAGTGCAGTGGAGCTTTAACCATAATATACTGATACAATTATACCTGGAACGATTTATTGTTTTTCTGAAATACAATTTTTTTTTTTATATCTCGTGACACTTTCGCCCACTATATCTTTTCAGGGCAAGCTTTCATCGACAAACGTGACAACATGAATATGATATTCTGTAGACTTACAATCCGCCTAAATTACGAAGACCTTCGAATGTCCCATTTTCAAGAACAGTCAGGCTATTGTGACCAAGCGTCCTGTAATATAAGAACACATAAAATTAAAAGATCCACTTATAGCAAAGTAAAGGGAACGCTTTACAGTCAAATT